TAGCTCCGTGATGCCAAGTCATTTCCATAGCAAACCATCCTGACCTCAGGGCACCGTTGGACGGAGCTGGCTGAAAACTCGTCAAATGCATGAAAACAAAAACAAAAACGTCCCCCTCCCAGTTCTTCCGTGCAGCCAAATGTCTTAACCATTTCTAGGCAACCGGGCGGCAGGCTTGGGGAATGGCTGGGCTTGTTCTCTGTCGACTGTGATTGAAAGGAAAGAAGGAAAAAAAGAGAAAAAGGAGAACTGGAGAGAAATCAAAGAGGACAGGAATAGGCAGCCGGAGGCAGAGTCCAGCAGTCTGGGGGGTGGGGGGTGCCTGCACAGAGATGACTCGGGCTTGATCCCCACCACCGCGGAGGGTCCCCCAAGGAGTCAGACCTGAGCATCTCCAGGTGTGGTCCCCAGAGTAAACAAAACTGAAGAGGAGAGGAATGGAGGAAGGAAAAGAAAACTGGGGGAGGTCCACACCCGGAGATGCTCAGGGGTTACTCCTGGCTCCGCACTCAGGAGCTCCTCCTGGTGGTGCTCAGGGGACAGAAGGGGACCCGAGGATGAGGATGGAACCTGGCTTGGCGGTGCGCAAGGGAAACCCCCTCCCAGTTTACGACGGCTTCAGTCTCAAAGCCACTGTGGGATCTAGAACCCTCCACTAGGGGGCACTGTGGGGATTTATTTTTTTCAATTTTATTTATTTATTTTTAAAAATAATAACAAAAAATACAGAAATATTTATTTGATTTACTTGTCAGAGCCTGGCAAGCTACCCGTGACGTATTCAATATGCCAAACACGGTAACAATAAGTCTCATGATGGAGACGTTACTGGGCCCGCTTGAGCAAATTTACTTGTATTTAATTAATTGATATTAATTAATTTACAGGAAAAAAAAACAAAAATACAGAAATCTTTCGTTAATTTACTTGTTTTGACTTTTTGGGTTACACCCAGCGATGCTCAGGGGTTCCTCCTGGCTCTGCACTCAGGAACCACTCCTGGTGGTGCTCGGGGGACCCTATGGGATGCTGGGAATCGAACCCGGGTCGGTCGCGCGCAAGGCAAATGCCCTACCCGCTATTGCTATTGCTCCAGCCCCACGCTTGGCTTTTCAAGAACCCTGCGTCCTTGCATCGTCCAAACTGTGCTCCCCATTACAGAAGGAACTCCTCAGACATCAGTCGGGAGTGCACAGGACCCCCTCAGCGCTCTGCAGAACTCACCTCCGCTACCCCCGGGCCCAACAGAATTGTCATCACGTGGCAGCACCAAGAGCAAAATCCACAACTTTGACCACTGACTGCCACTTGATTGCTCGGAGGTCAGAGAGGCCCAGATTGTGTGTGTGGGGGGGCGTCCGGGTGTGTGTGTGGGGGGCTGATGTGGACGAGTGTGGGGAGCAGGAGTGACCGAGTTCCCTCTGGGCAGAGGTGCCCTTGCGCGCTTTTGCGCGTTTGCTTTCTTGGGTCCCCACCCAGCCGTGCTCAGAGCTGAACTCGGTAACTCAGGAACCCATCCGGGATGTCGGGGATCGAACCCGGGTCGACAGCATGCGCGCAGTCCCGCTTTTCGTGGCGTTTTTTTGCGCTCTCTTGCGCCCCCTGGTGCGCACTGGAGCCCTTGCTGGCACTGAGCCCTTTTGCCTCTTTGCACACTGGCGCAGTAATTCGGTGTGACTTCAGCCTGTTGTGTCCCCGCCGCCAGGTCGAGGCCGGGGCCTGTTCCCTGGGTCCTCACGGCCAGCCCCTCTGCCTGGGACTGTCGAGGTCTGTCTCCAAGGACAGAGCTCTCCATGCCCAGGTTTTCAGGAGATGCGCACACACTTGGCGTTCACGGATCTGGTCCAAGCTCCCTGACACCGGAGAGGAAGATTCTTCGCTCGGTGGCTCGGGTGCCGGATTCCCCGTGGGTCGCTGTACTCTCGGAGGATCACGGCCGTGGGCTCAGCACCCGGCCCCCTGGCATGTCAAGTCTGTGCTGGAGCCCCGGGCGCTGTCACTCGGCCCCCAGGTCTGTCTTTGCAGTCAGGCAGCTCCTATTAGCTCTTCCCTGCTCTGGCCAGGTTGGAGATGGGATCTCACCCCTGCGGCCAAGCAGGGCTGGAGACAGTCCTGGGGCTAAGGTGCCGCCTGTCTTGCACACGGCCAACCCCAGTCTGACCCCCTCGCCAGGAGAGGCAGGAGTAAGGCCTGCAGGGTGAGGCCCCAAACCACCCCCAAAATGAGTGGCTCTCATGACCAGCTGGGACCATGCTCTCATGAGACCGGCTCTCATGACCAGCTGGGACCATGAGGGTATCATTTTGGCTGGTTCTGGGGGGGGGAGGGGAGGGTGGAGAGACCCAGTGCCTTGTTCAGCCCCCAAGATCTAGAACAGCATCGTGCCCGGAGGGCGGATGGATGAAGGCTGGTTTCTCATTAAGAAATTAGCCGATGGGGGCTGGAGCAATAGCACAGCCCGGTAGGGCGTTTGCCGTGCACGCGGCTGACCCGGGTTCGATTCCCAGCATTCCATAGGGTCCCCTGAGCACCGCCAGGAGTGATTCCTGAGTGCAAAGCCAGGAGTAGTAACCCCTGAGCATCGCCGGGTGTGACCCAAAAAGCAAAAAAAAAAAAAAAAAAAAAAAAAAATTAGCTGATGGAAACAGAAGCTTGGAGGGTGTGGGAGCAGGGAGGGTTCAAACCCAGAAGCCCTGTGAACTGGGAAGATGTTCTCGGCAGAGGTCACACTCAGCGCCAAGGCCCTGAGGCAGCAGAAAGGAACAGCAAGGACAGAGGGAGGAAGAGAGGACGGAGAGTTAGGAACTGGGGTGCGAGGTTCCTAACTCTGGGCTCCCGCGCGCCCTCTGGCGGCTACCGCTGGAAAAGTCGCTGTCGGGGTTGAGGTAAATCTGGAGGGAAAGGGAGGGCCAGGGGCGCTAAGACTCTTGTTTGGGGGCCACACCTGGCGATGCTCAGGTTTTGCTCCTGGCTCTATGCTCAGGGATCACCCCTGGTGGGCTCGGGGGCCCTATGGGGAGCCGGGGACGGAACCCCGTAGGACACATGCAAGGACACCGCCCTCCTCGAGGTCCTGGGCTCCAGCCCCGGGACACTTTCCATCACGTGCAGCGATAGCACAGCGGGGAGGGCGTTTGCCTTGCTTGCACGCGGCCGACCCGGGTTCGATCCCCAGCATCCCAGAGGGTCTCCCGAGCACCGCCAGGAGCAACCCCTGTGCATCGCCAGGTGTGACCCCAAAAGCAAAAAGCAAAAAAAGAAAAAAAAAAAGGCTGTCAGAGGCCGCAGAGCAACAGGACTCTAAATCTGAATGCCCCCTTCGTCATCTGCCCCCACCCCGGGATTCCTGGGGCGCTGGCTCGGTTGACCCCTGGATGCCAACCTTGCTCCCCCCGCCCCGCCCCACCCCGACCGCGGCCCCACAGCGCGAGGGAACAAGCGGCCACTTCCTCATCTGACTTTATTTCACTTTTTGTTTTTCTATAAAACTCCTCCATAATTTCACAATTTAACAAAAGGTTTAAAATCCAGGACGGAAATGCTCCTGAAACGTAGTATACAAACACAATTCTCCTCATTCCTTTGATGCAGGAGTTGGTCTGGGCCCGGAGCGGTGCCCTAATTCCTAAGTGAGACACATTCTTTGTAAAAACCCTTAGGGGCGCGAGGGCAGGGGTATCGGATACCTGTGAGCCCGCCCTCGCCTGGTGCCCTTTTGTTCGGGAGACGACACGGGGTGCGGGGGCTAACACTGCACGGCAGCCCAAGGGGGCCGCCTTCCTATGGAAGCACCCCACGGCCACCCCCACCATGCCAGGCTGCTGAAGTGGGGGCGGGGGGTGGAGCCGTGGGCAGGGGTGAGGGTCCCCCAGCTGGCCTGGCGTGTCCCTGGGGGGGTTCACGGGCGGCCCTGAGCCAGAGCTGCTCCGTGGGACAGTGCTTGGGGCCTTGTGTTCGGAGGAGGTAACTGAGAAACGGGGTGGAGGGTTGGGGCTCCCCCAAGCCCCAGAGAGACACAGCAGGCGGGGCCGTGCCCCAGGGACGGGGGGCTTTTCCCAGGGGCCCCCGGAGGAGGGGGAGGGAGGAGGGGAGGGGGCGACCAGTGCTCTGGGGCCGAGGGCGGCCGTGGGAAGGAGCCCCCCTTGACGGCGGCGAGCTGGAGCCTGCAGCCCGGCAGTCTGAGTTCCCGGGGGGAGAGGAACACCCTTTGGAGTATTGCTGGCCTGCGCGGTGACCGCCTGGTGACCGCGCCGAGTCCGCCCCGCAGGCCTGTCCACTCGCTTGCACCTTGTGGCAGTGGGTTGGGGGGAAGAGTCGGCAGGAGGACGGACGAACAGTCGGACGGACGAGGACGGACGTGGCGCCCGGCGGGGCCTTCCCTTGGGCTCCTCGGGACGCGGAGGGGGCAGCCCTGGGCTGTGGGTCCGGGGGGAGGGCAGGTCCTGCCACACAGACGGGGTCAGGGGTCACGCCGGGGCCGGTTCTGCTGTCCGCCTCTCTGGGGCCTGGAGGCCAGTCCGGGGGCCAGAGTGGCCGCACAGCCGGGCGCGGGGGCAGAGGTCGCTGGCAGTGTGGCCCCCGGGCCCTTGGACCAGCTCCGCGAACGATCCCGTCTTATTTGGCAAAAGCTCTCACTGTGCTCAGAGTCCGAAGCCTGGGCGGCCCCCGGGGCAGAGAGGATCCCTCGGGAGGAGGTGGGGGGCTCCGCGCGCACCGCGACCCCCAGTAGTGTTCGCCGGCCCGGCCCGGCACGGGGAGGGGGGGGTGCCCCGGGGCCCAGCTGGGGGACCCCTGACAGTTCCGGCCGCGGGGCCCGCCCCTCGCGGCCACGCCCGCCCTGGGGCGCCCGGACCCGGGCCGGCCAGCCAGCCTGCGCCCGTGGGTGCCCGGCCGGGGAGCGGGGCGGGTCGCAGGAGCGGCGGGACCCTCCGGCCCTGAGCGGCGAGCAGGTGTGTGTGTGGGGGGGTCCCCCTGGGCCCGGGGCCCCGGCAAAGAGCAGCTGGTGGTGCGGGGCCGCCGCGGGGAGGGGTAAGGCAGTGCTGGGGGCGCGGCCGGGTCAGGTGGCCACGGCCTCCAGGTAGCTCTGAAGCTTGCGCACCGTGGTCTCGTCCAGGGAGAAGAGGTCGAAGTCGAAGGTGGTGTTGGTGACGTTGAAGTGGCCCGTCTCCTCGATCAGGTTCACGATCTGCGGGGAGCCGGGTGTGCGTGTGGGGTGGGGGGTGGGGGGAGGCCAGGCCACGGGGCTGGAGGAGGAGGAGGAGGAGGAGCCCGGGACCCCCGCCCCGCGGTACCTGCTGCAGCACGTTGCGTTCCCGCAGCGCCATCAGCCGCCGGTGCAGTTCCACCAGCTCATCCGTGTAGGCCTGCGGGAGGCGGGGCGTGGGGGGGTCGTCAGCAGCGCGTGCGCGCCTCGGGGCCGCCCGGGGCTGCTCCCCCGTCCCCCCCCACCCCGCGCCCCACCTTGTCGTAGGTGCCTTTCCTGAGCATCTTGTCGGACTTGCCGCAGGTGTCGGGGCTCCTCCGGCCTGAGGCCTGCAGAGGGACCGCGCGGTCTGTGTCAGCCGCGCCCCCGCCCCTCGCCCCCCTCGCCACCCCCCAGCGGGAAGCTCCCCACTCACCTTGCTGTTGGGAGGGGGGGGGCTTCTGCGGGGGCGGGGGCTCGCGTTTGGGCGGGCAGGAGTCCCCGCTGTTGTCACTCTCGCTGTCGCTGAAGCTCAGCCTGGCGGGGATGCTCCCGTCAGCGCCCGCGGCCGCCCTGGCAGAGGGCGCTGAGGCCAGAGCCCCCCGCTGCCCGTGACCCCCCCCACCCCCCCTTCACGTGCAAATCTGGACTCCCCAGGCTCCAGTGCTCCGGGAGGCTGAGCACAAGCCCTGAGCACTGGGCCCGGGAGGCAGCCCTAGGGCCCCGCCGATGTGACCCCCCAAAGGAAAATTAAATATATGAATGATAGAAAGAGGCGGCTCCAGCACAGGCCCAGGGGGCGCGGCCACTGCTGTGGGGCGAGGGGGGCGCGCGCTGGCACCCCTGGGTGCCCTGACCCCGCCTTACGCCCGCTTTCTCCCATGCCTTCGAGGCAGAGACCTCCTCCCTCAGACCCTCGTGAGCCCATGGAGGGGGCTGGGGGGTGTCCCCTCGGGATGCCCCGAGTCTCAGCCTGTCTGGGCGTCTCAGGATCCGTGCCCTACAAGGGGAGACTGGGGGGGGGGGGCTGAACCTTTTCTAGTCCCACCCCATGGGTCAGGGTGACCCCCCAGGACCCCAGCCTGCCTTGGGTCCGATCTGAGCCGCGGCCATGGTGGCCACTTGCCCTCCATGCGGGGAACATTCAAGAAGCACACACACACCCCCATGAAAGGCGGGCTCCCCCCTTTCATGCGGGCGGGGCGGGGCTGGGGGGTCTCAGCGCTGGAGCCAGGCGTTCCCTCCGAGGACCCCAATGAGGATGCCGATGAGGACCCCCCTGTCCCCCCATACCTGGAGTCCCGGCCCGCGGCCGCCTTGCCCGACGCCTCTTCTCCCGACGAGGAGTCCTCGTCCGACTCCCCAGACTGCAGGTCCTCCACCATGGAGCGCAGCGGGCCTGGGGGGCACAGCGAGGCCGACTCAGGCCCGGCCCCGGCCCCCCACACGCCCACGGCCCCGGAGTCCCCCCACCCGGCCGCCCCCTACCTTCCTGGGCCGCCTCGCAGTCCTCCGGGGCCCGGCCCACGGCGGGTCCACCCGGCGCGTCCATGGCCCACCCGGGGGCTGGGGGGACGCCCAGCCCAGCCGCGCCGGACCCCCAACGCCTCGCAGCCCCCTCGGCGGCTCCCGGCCCACCGTCCGCCCCTTTCTCCAGAGGCCGCGGCTCCCGGCCCCCCCACAGACGGCATCTTGGTTTATATTCCCGTTTCCAAGGCGACAGAGGGACACAAAGCCTCAATTACCTCGGCCACGTGACGCCTCTCCCCCGCCGCAGCCCCTGGCGGCTGCGCGGCGCCTCCACTCCAGGCCAGACCCCCCCAGAGCGCTCCCCTCCCCCACCCCCCACCCCGCAGGAAGGATGGGGGGCCTCTGCCTCGGACCCCCGGGATGAGACGCCTGGGCTGCGTCTAAGTGCATGGGGGGTGTCCGGCCAGGCCCTGCTTTGGGGGTGCGCTGGGTCGTCCGAGTGAGCCGGGGGACCCTCCCAGCCACCCCGTTACCACCCGGTCTCACACCCGGGCTCCCTGAGCCCACTCCGCAGCGGCCCCCTCCCCCCACCCACCCCTCCACCCCAACGCACCTTGACTGTGGTTCTGGGAGGGCTCGAAGTCCGAGTCGGAGCTGGAGTCGGATCCGGAGCTGGACGTGGACGGGCTGGACTGGACAGACTTCAGCCGCGGGGAGAGACCAGAGCTTTGTGTGGGGGGAGGCGGGCCCCCGAGGAGCCCCCCGCCCCGGACCTGCTTGAACTCCTTCCCCCACCCCGGAGGCTTCCCTCTCCCAGCAGGTGCCTCTGCAGAAGGGGCAGGGGAGAAAGGGGGGCGCTGGGGTGTGAGCGGGAGGGGGGGATCTTGAGCTGCAGCTGAGGGCAGAGACCCGGCTGCCCGTCCCTCGGCTCTGTGTGTGTGTGTGTGTGTGTGTGTGTGTGTGTATGGGGGGGAGCTGCTCGCCCTTGGCGCTGCGCTCCCAGGATCGGCCAGCAGGGGGCAGCAAGCACGGGTGCCAGGAGCGCTCCCCTGAGGGGCCCTCCGGGGAAGGGACTCTGGGCCCACCCTGCCGCTGGGTGCACCCCTATTCCTCCCTCAGGCGTGGGCGAGCCTGGCAGGCAGGGAGGGATTCGGGGCATCTTCAGCCCTGGCACTGGCTGGACACGGGAACCGCCCATGCAGGGAAGGGGTGTCGGCTCTCAAGGTCCCCTGCACATCCTCCAGGTGGGCACAGACCTGCCCAGGGGGGCGGTGGGCAGGGGCGAAGGCTGTGCCCCAGCTGGAGCTCCACGGCCCCTCACCTCCGTTTTTTATCTTGTTGTTGATATTTTGGGGGGGGGTCCCACCCAGTGGTGCTCAGGGCTGGCAGGGCTTGGGGAACCCTCTGGGGTGCCGGGGATCCATCCCAAGCGAGGCCAGCGCTCCCCCTGCGGTCCTGCCTGTCGCCCCGGCGGCCTCACCTCCGTCTTGAAGGACGCCTCGTCCTCTGAGTTGGACTCCTCCACCTCGGGGGCCTTCTTGGCCTCCCGGGGCTCGCTCTCGGTCTTGACCTTCTCGCCCTTGCCGCCGCCGCTGCCGCCGCCCTTGTCCCGGGGCGGCTTCTTGTCGGAGAAGGAGGAGGAGGAGGAGGAGGTGCGGGGCGAGGTGCCGGGGCCGCCCCGGGAGCTCTTACAGCTGCTTTTCTTGGGCTTCTTGGTGCCGGGCTTGGGCGAGTCGGCGGGCGCCGGGCGCTTGCTGGAGGAAGACTTGGACGCGGCGCCGCCCTTGGGGGACAGCCCCTCCAGCTTGGTCTCCTTCATGGTCATCTTGGGCTCCTTGAAGGCGGCCTTGGGCGGCGCCGGCTTCTCCTCCTTGGCCGGCCGGCCCTCGGCCAGCTTGCGCGCCGCGTCCTTGGTGCTGCGGGCGGGCTCCCGCTCGCGCTCCCGCTCCCGCTCGCGCTCGGGCTCCTTGGAGGAGCTTTTGCTCTCCGAGTCCTTGCGGGGCCGCTCCCGGTGCTCCTTGGCCGCCTTGTGGGCCTTGCAGGCTTTGCCGCTCTCCCGGCTGGCGTCCTGGAAGGCCGGGGCGGGGTGGTGGAGCAGACAGACAGACAGACAGGCAGGCACGCGCACGCCCATGCACACAAGCGCGCGCGCGCGCACACACACGCACACGCACGCGCCAGGTGGTGCGGCCCCGCCCCCGACCCCTCCAGAGTGCGAGCCCCCTGCAGGGGGGACCTGCCTGGACGGACTCTCCTACTGAGCGGGAAAGTCAGGGGGGCTCAGGGGCACCCCGGGAGGAGAGCGCGAGTCACACACGGCAGCCGCGCGCCTGCGCCACGCTTGCTGCCACCTGCGGGTGCACTGGGGGCGCCAGCCGGCCGCGCCCCCGGGGCCTGTCCTTGCCATCAGCTCAGTCTGGGGCACGGGGGGGGGGGGGGGGGGGGGGGGCGGGGAGGGAGGGGACCTGGACGCCCGCCAGTCTCCTGGGGACAGATGCCTTCCTGGGCCGCTTCTCTGAGACTCGGGGGAGTGGAGAGGCTGCGGGTGGGTGTCAAGATGCTCCCCGAGGGCTCCGCAACAGGCCCTGGGCTTCTCAGGTGGCGTCCACCTACCTCACGGGGGCAGCAGTGGCGCCCATGCGACCACGTGTCCACAGGCAAGTGCCTCCCTGCGGGGCGGCCCGGCAGCGTGGCCCCGAGAATGTGTCACCCAGACTGCAGGCACGGGCCACCCAGCTCACTGCCCGGGCCAGCGCCCACGGGGCCACATCCGCTCTGCCCAGAAGGCTCCTGCCCGGGGACCCCCACGGCGCTGGCGCCACCGGCGTCCCACACCGACCTCTCACACTGACCTCTGACCGCGCACAGACCCCCGAGCCTCGATGGCTAGGAAGCACGGCCACAGAAGCCGCAGTGGCTGGCGGGGTGGTTGAGACGCGGAGACCCCAACCTTCCCCGCTCAGGCGGACAGGCCTGTCCCCCCGGCCCCCAAGGGGATAGGTGAGAGGGGGCAAGAGGTGACCGGGCCACCACGGGCAGGGTGGTGACAGCAGGACAAGAGTGGGACAGAGCCCTGAAGACACAGCCGCGGACGGGCCCCACAGCCACAGCTCGGCATGGAATCCCGGGGGCGCAGCGCAGGGGTCCCCCCATGGAGGCATTTCCAAGGGGCCTCAGAAGAGGTACCGAGAGAAGAAGGGAAATGGGGAGCAGAGGAGCTGAGGGGTGCAGAGGCCAGAGGTGAAGCCCCGGAACGGGGGGGAGAGAGAGAGAGAGAGAGAGAGCGGGAGGGAGAGATGCCCACAATGATACCCCCACCCCAGGCTCTGGGAAAGACAGGCCTGGGGCCAGGGCACTGGTGGGTGACCCCAAGCGGCCCTGCTTCCCCCCTTGACCCCCACGGGTCTGAGTTCTCAGACAAGGGCTCGCCCAGAAAGCTCCAGAAAGAGCCAGAAAGATCCGGCGGGGCAAGGCTGGAGAGGGCGGCGGGAAGAAGGTGTCGGGCTGGAGGGGGGCCGAGGGCGCCCACACCCGGCAGGAGAGATGTGGGGTGCGGGTGCAGGGCCTGAGGCAGACACTCGGCGGGCGCAGGGGAGAGAGAGGAGTCCGCCCCCTCCTGCCCGCCGGCCCCTCCCGCACCCCAACCGAGCCCCGAACAGACGGTCCGTGAGCCGGGGGTGCCCGGGAGGAGCAGGGGGGCGGGCAAGGCAGCCCGTGATGGACAGAGGCCGGGAGCCCGCGTCCTGCTGGCTGCCCCGGGCCATCCGGGAGGGTCACCGATGGCCGGGGGCAGCCAGGCGGGGCCCACGGGCTCCCGGACGAAGAGGGGCAGAAGGTCTGGCGGTGCCGAGGGGGCGCCCTGGGCCCTTCCGCCTCACTGACCTTGGAGCTGTGGGGTGGTTTGGTCTTCTTGGGGTCAGAGAAGGCAGAGAGTGGAATTGTGGGCAACATGGGGTAGTCGGGGCTGGGCCTGGACAGCGGTTCTGCTCCTTCGGGCATTACCATCACCTAGTGACAGAGAAGAGACAGGCGTTAGCCCCGGGGCGGGGCTCCCGCTGCGGCCGGAAGCGCCAACAGTGTGAGGGCACGGGCGGCCGGGCGATAGGCCAAGAGAAGTGGGGGCGCGCCAGGATGGCTGGGCCCCCCAAGAGCCGAGCCAAGAAGAAGAGCGGGGCGCACAGCACAGCGGGCGGGAAGCAAGCGACCAGGACCGGCCGGAAGCAGCTGGCGAAGGCCAGAAGGGCAGCCCGCGAGGACGCCCCGACGCCGGCCCGTCCTGCTCACACGTCGGTCCCCAGCGTCGGGCACAGCTGACTGCAAGAGGGGGTGAGCGGGGAGCGGCACCGACTAGCGCCCGGGGTGGCCAGGACGGCCCCCTCGACGCCCAGCGGCTCCGGGAAACAGCGGCACCCAGCCGGGCTCCTGGCCACCTGCTGAGCAGGGCCGAGCTCTGCCGGAATCCGAGAGCAGGCGGCAGGTGCGGAGGGAGACGGGGCCTTCCGGCGGCCCAGACGGAAAGACGGAGAGAAGGAAGGACAGAAGGATGGAGAGAGGCGTCCAGAGGCCCGGTTCTGCCCGCTCGCGCGCACGACATGAGAGCGGGCGGGGAACAGCCCTCCACCCTGGGCGGCAGGGTGGCAGCCGGGTCACAGGGACAGGGGGTCAGAGAGAGCGAGGGCAGAGGAGCCGGCGGGGGGCACTGAAGCTGAGCCGCTGGGCCGCCCCGGAGATCCATGCCTGCAGGCCGGTGCACACGCGCACACACTCACACATGCACACACACAAGCACACGCATGCACGTGCAGAAAGACACATGCGCACACAGGCACAGACGCACGGCACAAGCATGTGCAAACACACGCACACATGCACACGCAGACCCACACACACGCATACACACGCATGCACTCAGATGGACACATGGACACGCAAACACATGCATGCAGGCACAGGTGCACAGACACATGCAGGCAGTCACACACACACACACAGGCACACACAAACACGCAGACATGCACACACACACATAGGCAGATACACACACACAGGCAGACGCACACACACACACAGACACACAGGCATGCAGACGCACACACACAGGCAGACACACACACAGGCAGACACACAGACACACACACAGGCATGCAGACGCACACACACAGGCAGACACACACACACACACACACACACAGGCATGCAGACCCCACAGGCCAGTGGAGGGAGGGCAGCCAGCGTGTTCAGGGTGGGCGCTGCCACCTGGGCTCTCTCTGGTTCCTCCTTCCTCCCTGTCAGCTGGGCCCAGGCTGGGGGTGCCCTCCCGCCTCTCACCTCCGCACCCCCCACCCCGGCCAACTTCCGGCTCCCCGCCCAGACAGGCTGACGGATGCCGAGATCCCGGGATGGGCCAGGGCGAGGCGGCAACCCCGCGGCACCCCAGTGGGACTTACGAACCAACCGGGGCTCCTCTGGTTCCGGCAGCAGAGTGCCAGGCCGACGCCAGCCCCGGGGAGCCGCCCAGAGCTCCGGGGCAGTATGGCAGGCAAGGCCCGACCCTGGTCCTGGGAGCGCCCAGAGCGCCCCAGGCCGGCGCCCTCGAGGGCAAGAACGTTCCGACCCACCAAGCAGCAAGCCTGGGCTGCTCCGGGCTGGGGGTGGGAGCACCACTGAGCCCGCCTGCCTGTGGCACCCCTGCCTCGGGCCGGCCCTGCCCACACAGCGCCAGCGCGGCCCGCCCCCGGGTTTTATGTGCTTAGGTGATGCCCGGGGGCCTTTATCTCTGCACACACGCACCCGGGCCCGGCGGGACACAGGCCGCCTCCCGGGTCCAGGGTCAGGCGCTGGCAGAGCGGCCGGGGGCTGTGCCCTGGGAACCTGGGGGAGTCCTGCCCGCCCGGCCCGGGTGGGGGCCTCCAGGGGCGCCCATCAGGGTCGCAGACTCGACCTTCCGCAGTGAGGAAGCCACGGCCGCACGCGCTCCCGCCCGCCCGCGTTTACGAGGGGCCCGAGCCGGTCAGGGAAGCCACTGGCTTGTCTGGACGCGGGCCTGCCCGTGCCCCCGGGCGCATGCGCGCACGTCGACACACGCGGCTTGGAGCCCGGGCGGGGACCCTGACACCCCGTGCCCACGTGGGCACGCCGGGTGGGCCAGCCTCCGTCACTGCCGGGCAGGACGCCAGGGGGGACGGACGAGGGCCTGTGCGCCAGGGGGGACGGACGAGGGCCTGTGCGTCATGGGCCAGCCACTGCGGCCGTCGCGGGCCGCACCCCCTCCGCTCAGCCCCCTGCAGGTCCCCGGGGGTCGGGGAGGGCAGGGGCCCCCTGGGGCCGCACTCACCCCACCGGCCATGAGCAGCTTGTAGCGGAACTCGACGGTGGGGTTGTTGAACGTCAGCTTCTCGCAGCGCAGGTGGTTCACGGGCGGGTTCCCCTCCAGGTTCAGGAAGAGGTCGTAGGTGAAGCAGACCTTGCGCGGTTCCTCCTGCGGCACAGGGCGCCCAGGGGGCGTCAGGGGTGCCCGGCGCACCACCGCCCCTCCCGCGGCCACCCACCCCAGGCAGGAAGCAGGACGAGAAACACGTGACTCTGGGGCCGGAGCCGTGGGACGGCGAGGCCAGGAGGGCGCCGGCCTGGCATGCGGCCGGCCCAAGCTGGTCCCTGGCATCCCATAGTGCCCCCGAGCACCGCCAGGAGTAGTTCCTGAGTGCAGAGCCCGGAGTCAGCTCTGAGCACCGCTAGGTGTGACCCACAAAGCCAAAAACAAACAGAAAAAAAAGCAAGGCGATTCCTGGGTGCAGGCCCGGGGGCAGGCTGGGCGTGAGGCTGAGCCCCAACCCCTGGGGACCCCCCCACTTGCGGCCACGATGGATATCCGGGGCCAGGCAGGCCGCCCTGCCATGAGGGATCCCCAAGTGAGCCGGCTCTGGGGGGGTAGGAAGTGCCCGGGGCTCCCTGGGCTCAACCCCGAGGCTGTGCCTGCTGGGCACTGACACGGCCCTGGGCAGTGGACAGAGACTCCCCAACAGCTGCCGGGCCCCTGCAGGGCTCCCCATGACGAGACCTCCTGGCTTAAGTCCCGCCTCCCCATCCGCCCTGCAGGCGGCCCAGACCCCCACTGTCCACCCGCCCTCTCCGCAGACCGAGGACACAGGGGGACCCTGGCAGCAGGCAGAGGAAGCCCCCGGGGGATCCAGATGGCGTGGCCAGGGTCTCGTCTGGGTCTCTCCAGTTCAGTTCTGGGCCCTGAGTCCCTGGCCCCATCTGGGATCTGCAGGAGGCCGGGGTCCGCCCCCCAGACATTTGTTCTCACCTGTAAACTGGGTGGGAGGGGGCTGGGTCCCGGCTCCCTCTGGGAGCACATGATCAGGCCACCAGGCCGGGGAAGAGAAGTCTAGAATGGGGCCTTCGAAACAGGGCACGGGGGGGCCACTTGCCTTGCATGGGGCTGACCCGGGTTCAATACCTGGCACCCCACCAGGGCCCCCCTGAGCCCCACCAGGAGTGATCTCTGAGCACAGAGCCAGGAGTCTGCCCTGAGCACGGCTGACTGGAAGCAACGGCTGTGCGGGCCGGAACCCCGAGTTCCATCTGAGCCCATGTGCTATGCCACCCAGCATTGCCGGGGGGGGGGGTGTCCGTGGGGCGGGGGTCGCCAGCACAGGCGTCCCCTTTCCACAGGAAACCGACTACACAGAAGGGCACAGCTGGCAGACGGGCAGGAGGCGGGCCAGGCCGGGGCTGGACACAGGGCCCAGCCAGCCCAAAGTCCACCCCAGTGGGTGGCCCTTCTGCATGAACCAGGCGGTGCAGTGCTGGCTGGGAGGGCTCGGTCGGGAGCGTGTCAGGGAAGGAGGGTGGTGGGGACCCCAGACCCTAGTGGGAGGTGGGGGGCTCTCGAGGATTCCACACTGCTCTCCCACTCCCAGGAACCTTCCAGTGGGCGCTACATATCTACAAGCCCAGCCAAGCTCACAGTGCCCCGCGCCCCGGGAGGGGCCACTGAGGGTCTCTGGTCACTGCCCGCCCCCTTCCGCTGCCCTCCACAAGGCCCTTCATCCCCCTACACGCAGGGTCCCGGGAGGGTGCCTGGGCCCCCTCTCCCCACCCCCGTAGGCAGGGGCACCTCCGGGCATCCTTGGGGCTCAAGGTGCTGGTTGGTGGGGGGTCTGCAGGGCCCCTGGGCCCTGTGCTCAGCCCGAGAGCCACCGGGGGTGGGGGGGGGGACACAGCCCAGGGATGCCCAGTATGTGGGCTGAGCCTGCTTCCGGGATCAGGGCGCATGGACACCTGCTTACCCCTCCAAGAGAGCCTGGGCCCCCCTCACTCCCCCCAGGCGACAGGCCTGTGTTCCCACACCCACACAGCCCGGCGCGAGCCCTGTGGCTGACCTGGGTAGTGCTGCCCGCAGCAAGAGGCCTCAGGCCCGGGGACGTGGTGGGGGGAGGTGCAGCCTTGGGACTGGCCAGCCTCGGCCAGCGCAGGCTCCCAGCACTAGCACTCCGCTCCAGGAACTGGGGTTCCCGTGCGTCACTGTGACATCAACCGCACAAGGCGAGTCCCAACTCACGGCCGCCACACGCCCCCCCCCCCCCCGCCCCGTGCCCCTCCCCCTCCCCCGCTGCCACCGCTGCCGCCAGGTCACCCGGGAGCCACCCCCTGCCTGCCCCCACGCCAGGCCCTGGCCCCAGGCCAGCGTCTTCCTCGGGCCTCACGTCCCGGAGGTGGAGGAACTGGCCGGACAGGTGGCAGCCGCACGCGCCCGGGCTCTGCTGGGAGTCAGGGCACAGGGCTGGATGGGCCTGAGGGTCTGCAGGACGCCACTTCCTGCCTCCTGGCGGGAGCAGAAGGAAGAGCCAGGAGGGGTGTCCCAGGGCCCGTGAACTCCCTGCCGATGGAGGCTTGGCTGCACCCGCCTGGGCCTGGCACCCAGGGGAGGGGCCAGGAGACCCCATCAGGCCAGGGGTGACTATCGACAACCCGATAGTTATGGGTCAGGCTGATGTGTGGGGCCTCTTTTGAGCCTCTCAAACCTGTGCACAGAAACTGTGCCAGTGGTGACAAGCTGCACAGGGCAGGGAGATGCCAGGGCCCCTCAGGAACAAGGACCCAGGCGGCTCCCCGGCACCCCGGGTTGGCCCGGCGTGATGGGCAGAGCCCAGCGGCACAGGCCAGGCATGGAGCCATCAGGGCCGCGGGGAGTGGCCCCAGGGTCCCCTGAGCCTCCCCCCCACCCCAACAGCAAAAGGCGGGAGCCGCCCAGTAGCCCTGGTAAGCCCCTTCCAGTCAGATGCAGCGCCCACCACCGGCAGAGGCCTCAGATGCTGACAAGGAGAACTCCTTACAAGAAGAATCATGTTCCGGTCAGAGGGACAGAACAGAGGGGAGGGCAGTTTTCTTGCAGGCAGACCACCTGGGTTTGCTCCCCCGGTGCACCATAGTGTGTCCCAAGCCCACCAGGAGGGATCCCTGAGCACAGAGCCAGAAGTCAGCCCTGAGCACCACCGGGTGTGGCCCCAAAACCAAAAAAGAAAAAAAAAAAACCAATGAGCAGGGCCAGCGCGACGGGACAGCAGGTAGGGCCCTTGTCTGGCACATGATCAATCGAGTTTGACTCCCAAGATCCCTGAGCTCTGCCGACAGTGACCCCTGAGCACAGAACCAGGAGTAGCACCTGAGCATGCTGGGTGTGCTTCCTCCCAAACCCAGAGAAAACCAAACAGAAACCTGATCAGCACAAGAAAAGCAGTTAATGGGACTGGAGCACAGCGGGGAGGGCGTTTGCCTTGCACGCGGCTGACCCAGGTTTGATTCCCAGCATCTCACAGGGTCCCCCGAGCACAGCCAGGAGTAATTCCTGAGTGCAGAGCCAGGAGTAACCCCCTGTGCATCACTGGGTGTGACCCAAAAAGCCAAAAAAAAAAAAAAAACCCCAAGAACACTAAGAAGAAACTCCTCTCTCTCTCTCTCAAGAAAGGAAAGGAAGGAAGGAAGGAATGCTTCCTCTGATGGGAAACCCTTCAGGGTCTGTGCCTAGCCCCTGGGTGTCCCCCACCAACATGACATGGTTCCCTGAACACCCCCACAACACATACACACACAAATATCCCCAAACAACCACGCTGTGAGCTCAGAGCAGATGTTCCTTCAGGAAGGTCACGGGCGGGTGCAGAGGGCAAGCCCAGCGCCGCCATCGGGTCCATGAGGACAGAAAACTGCACTCAGGAATCACTGCATTCAGGAGCCAGGAACAGGGGCAGGCGCAGGACTCCCAGATTGGGTCGATCCCCGGCACCCGCCCCCCTGCTCAGCCGGCCACCAGGGATGCCCACGTTTGGAGCCCAAGCCAGAGCTAGGAAGTGGAGGGCAAGGAAGGCTGAGCCGGACAGAAGCTAACGTGACTCCACTCGCTGTCGATACCATCGTATCTGGAGTCGTTGCCGCAGGGACGGGAACGATGACTCAAGTCAAAGAATGTTGTGGGGGGCTGGAGCAATAGCACAGCGGGGAGGGCATTTGCCTTGCACGCAGCCGACCCGGGTTCGATTCCCAGCATCCCATAGGGTCCCCCGAGCACCGCCAGGGGTAATTCCTGAGTGCAGAGTCAGGAGGAACCCCTGAGCATCGCCGGGTGTGACCCAAAAAACAAAAACAAAATCAAACAAAAAAGAATGTTGTGGGGCTGGAGCGATAGGACAGAGGCGCGTGGCTGACCCGGGTTTGATCCCCGGCATCCCATAGGGTCCCCCCGAGCACTGCCAGGAGTGAGCTTTGAGCGCAGGGTCAGGAGGAAGCCCTGAGCCTGCTGGATGTGCCCCAAGACAAAACAAAACAACAGCAACAAGGGCTGGAGCGATAGCACAGCGGGGAGGGCGTTTGCCTTGCACGCAACCCACCCGGGTTCGATTCCCAGCATCCCATAGGGTCCCCTGAGCACCGCCAGGAATGATTCCTGGGCAGAGCCAGGAGGAACCCCTGAGCATCACTGGATGTGACCCAAAAAACAAAACAACGACAACAAAACCCACAACTTTCTTCAGGGAAGAGGCAGAACCCAAAGGCCACACGGGCCCGGGTCCAGCCTATTCTCACTGCCAGCATTGAACGCATCGAAGAGGCAGGTCAGGAAAGCAGGTCCTTGGGGGCTGAACCGGTGGGAACGGCAGAGAAGGCACTTGCCTGGCACACAGCCGACCTGGGTTCAGTCCCCAGCATCCCACGGGCTGCCAGAGCCCCTGAGCCTCGCCAGGAGTGACCCCTGGGAACCAAAAGAAAAAAAGCGATTCCATTTACAATGACCTGCAAAAAGAGCAAATGCCTCTGTAGCAATTCAGGGGAGGAGGGGAAGGTGAGAGCCTTTAGAAAATGGAAACCCGCGGCCCTGCTTGCTGCCTTCGGGTGGAAAATGGAGCTGCAGGCTGGTCACTGCTCTCAGCAGCCCACGGCCATTTGTGCATGGATGGACCAAAAAAAAAAAAAAAAAAAAACCACCAAATGGGACTCACACTTCCTGATTTCAGGCTCCCGCGACCCCAAGTGGCCCTGCTCCAAATGGCACAGCAGCGGCCCGGCAGCAGACGGAGCCCCAGAAGGCAGATCCCCTGGGGTGCGCTCTGCTTCCCAAGGGGTGAGAAGGCACCGGGGAAGGAACAGTCTCAGGCAGCATTTTGGGGGCCTCGGCGAGAGGACAGATGGGAGGGTGTTTGCCTTGCACACTGCTGACCTGGTTTGATCCCTAGCACCCCTTATGGTGCCCTGGGCACCCCTGAAGTGTAGGATAACACTGCTTTGTCCTTCCTCCCTTTCCAGGAGGAACTCAGGTTTATCTCAGTGCTCCTGAGGCACTTCCATTCCATTGTGCTTATCTGTCAACTCTTCCCTGTGCTCTCCTCCCCAACCAGTTCATCAGCTTTTCCCCTAATCAGAATCTGTTCATTTGTAAGGCCAGATCCTTCTAGGACACTGAACTTGTAAGTTAATATTGCCTTTCTCCTCTCCTTGTGTCTTTTGAATAGTTTCCCTTAATGCAATGTCCTTTTTGTATGGATTACATATATATCTATACATTTATATCTATATATATAAATATAGATTATATGTCTATAGTTTACTATAATGCAATATCCTTTTTACATAGACACAGGAAGACAATATTATGCTTTTGTAACTTAGGATTTAATTGGCTTTGAATATCATTCACTCCCGGGCATCTGCTTTCTCGACTTAAGCCTCAGTTGCCCTTAGTTCCTAACACCCCAAAGCAGGGTCCCGACGAGGGACTGAATGGACCCAGAGAAAGCTGTGAGCTACTCTGTCATCGAAATGGGCCAAAGTGCCACGATTCTTTTTTTTTTTTTTTTTTGCTTTTTGGATCACACCTGGCGATGCACAGGAGTTACTCCTGGCTCTGCACCCAGGAATCACTCCTGGCGGTGTCAGGGGACCCTATGGGATGCTGGGAATCGAACCCGGGTCGGCCGCGTGCAAGGCAAATGCTCTATCCGCTGTGCTATTGCTCCAGCCCCCAGTGCCACGATTCTTAACTATAAGAGCTTGATCATAGACAAGTGCTGTCACGATCCAAAAATAACGACGAGACTAGGACCCTGCTAGGGATAGGAAAGATTATCTGGCCTGAGCACTGTAGTCTGAGATCGAGATGGCCCTAGGAGAGCAATTCTATAAGCTTAACGTATTTCTTACGGTGTCCATACAAAATGATTCATGTTATGAATGCTTGTATGTTTGTTGGACCAGGAGAGGAGGAACACACCCATGGGATTCCCTTCTAGGGTGGGTCGACCTGCTAAATGAGAATCTGTCCTAGAAGCGGCTTTCCCCGAGGGAAAGAACTCTACCCCATTGATTGTGACCACACCTAGGTGTAAGCCCCAACTCCTTATGGTTTGGGAATATAACTAGACTGTAAGAGTGGGCTGGGCGGTCCAGACTCGAGAAGGAGAAGGAGAAAGGGGATCCAGATCCAGATTCCAGAGCCAGGAGGAGGTTGAAGGGGGATCGAGGAGGAGAATGAAGTAGCACGGGGGAGGGAGAGGCAGAGGAGAGAGACAGGAGTGGATGGAGAGAGGACTGGAAGAAACTGCAACTAAGACCAACCAGCCTGGCCCTCGTTTCCTTCCTTCGCCTGCCCATGGCCATGGACCTCCCCAGGGTGGGGGAAAGTGGCGTGAGACTATCGAACGTGGGCGGTGGGAGAGCTAGACCGCTGCTGTGTGTTTACACACCTGAGCCCAGCTGAGTATGGCTCTCCCCCCCACACACACACAAAAATAAAGCAGAATTTCCCAGCTGGGGTTGGCACTCCCCTCGGGCATTCCCAGGGGGCTAAAGGTGCAAACCATATAATAGGGGGCCATGGCAGGAGACAAGGGGGAGAGAGCTGAGAAAGGTTGATGGGGGGCTGGAGCAATAGCACAGCGGGGAGGGCGTTTGCCTTGCACGTGGCCAACCCGGGTTCGATTCCCAGCATCCCATAGGGTCCTCCGAGCACCGCCAGGAGTCATTCCTGAGTGCATGAGCCAGGAGGAACCCCTGTTCATCGCCGGGTGTGACCCAAAAAGCAAAAGCAAAAAAAAAAAAGGTTGATGGGTCAGGTCTCAGGAACCTCGAGCGGGGGAAGGCGCTTGCCCCACACATGGCAATTTAGGCTCAAACGCCCCCAGACTACCGAGGGGGTATACATCCTGGGCAGCCCAGATGTGGCCCCCAAACCTCCTCCTTCAAAAAACAGCCCGGCAAGCTACCGAGAGTATTCGATATGCCAGACACAGTAACAACAAAGTCTCCAATGGAGACGTTACTGGGCCCGCTCGAGCAAATCAAAAAACAAAACAAAACAAAAAAACAATAACCTGCCCCGGAGTGGTGGGAGAGCTGACTTGTTCAGGCAGACGATTTTTTTTTTAAAAGCAAACTTGGGGGTTGGAACAATCATTCGGCAGGGAGGGTGCTTACCTTATACACGGCTGACCCGGGTTCGATCCCTGGCACCCCCAAGGGTCCCCTGAGCCCTACCAGGAGTGATCCCTGAGCACAGAGCCAGGAGTCCACCCTGAGCACTGCTGGGCTGTGCGACCCAGCCCCCTCCCCAAACCAGAAGTGATTCCCAGAAGCTCATCTCACGTCCTCCCCTCTGCCCACCCCCTGCACCGGGGGGCCTGGGCACCCCGAGCTGAAGCAACAGGCCAGCGTACAGAACCACCGTCTGGGAGCAGCCCCTGCCCCTGAGCACTGTTTGGGAAGCTCCCATCCCCCCCCCAGCCCTCAGGGTGAGAGGCCGTTCCCCAGCTGCCCCTGGGACCCATCACAGATGTTGGCACCAGCCCTTCAGGGTCCCCCCAAGAAGTCTGCCTTAAGCTCAGACTGAAAAGCAAAAGGTGCTCCCCCCCAGCACTTTCTGTGGGGTGTGCGGTGGGGCGTTGAGACAGGGATCACTCGGGGGCACCCTTGGGCATGGGTCCAGAGGCCTCAGTGGGGGGTGACCCAGAGCAGCGGGCCCCTAGGAGGGCCTCAGCAGGGCTCAGGGGATCCGACTTGGGTGGCCATCAGTGTTCCCGGGGCGGCCACATCACCTCACGCCAGGAGAGGGCGCCCGAGGCCCCCACAGGGCTTGGGAACCGGCCAGGGCGGCAGCCAGTCTCCTGGGCCAGTGGCCACACCACCTGACACCAGGAGAGGGCGCCCGAGGCCTCTCTAGGCCCACAGGGCGCCGGGAGCTTTTGCTTTCATTCCTGGTTTGGTCAAACCAGCCAGAGTGTGAATGTGAGTGTGAGAGTGTGTGTGTGTGTGTATGGTTTGGCCAAACCCACGAGAGTGTGTGTGTGTCTCAGTGTGTGTGTGTGTGTGTGTGTGTATGAATCGGCCAAACCCACCTAAGTGTGTGTGTGTGTGTGTGTGTGTGTGTCTCACTGGTATGTGTGTGCATCCTTCCCTGGAATATGTGTGTGTGTTTTCTTCCCTAGTGTTTGTATGTGTGTGTGTGTGTGTGTATGTCCCTCCCTGGCGTGGTGTGTGTGGTGTGTGTTTCCTTCCCTGGAATTTGTATGTGTGTGTGTGTGTGTGTGTGTGTGCGCGTCCCTCCCTGGCATTCCAGCGGTGCTGCACACACACACTAACAACACAGAAACAAAGTGTGTGGGTTCCCTGCAGAGACGGGACGGGGTAACGATGCAGGGAGGGGCAGGACGGCGGGGCGCCCCCACTCTGCACCAGGAGGTCGGGCTCCTCTCAGCCACAGGACACCCCGTGCTGCCTTCCCAGGGCCTCTCCCCTCCCTCTGCCCTGCCCCCCAGCCCCCACCTGGCCCCACAACTAAGATTCAGTCGATGGGCCAGAGAGCAGGGGAGGCCCAGACTCCAACCCCCGGCACCCCATGGGGTCCCCTGACCCCCACCAGGAGGGATCCTTGAGCACCTCCAGCTGTGGCCCCAACCCAGAAGACGCCCCACAATTCTGCTTTGCACCCTGAGTCCATGGGGTCAGAGAAAGCTGGGGGGAGGGCTTTTAGGCGATTTACAGACCTTTGCCCAAATCAGAGCCAGTCCAGACCACTGGGGAGTGCTGCGTCCACCTGCCCCCCCCAACCCCGTCTGGCCATGCACACGCCACCCACACTGGTCACTCCAGCCCCCCATCCCCGGCGAACCCGGGTCCTACCTTGTTCTTGAAGTACACCTCAATGGGCATGATGAAGCCAGCGTACCCTGACTCCTCCACCTTGTAGGGGGGCTCCTTACACACTGAGGAGGGGAAACGGAGTCAGTCCCCTGCCCACTGGGAGCTCCCCACCCAGTCCCCACCCTCGAACCCAAGTCCAGGTCAGGCCTCGCCCACGGGGTCCCTGGGGAGGAGCGGAGCAAGGGGGCGCCCCAGCTCAGAGCACGGAGGGGCCGGGAGCGGGAAGCCGGGGAGGGACATGGTCAGTCTCAGGCGGCCCCATGCTGCCTTCTGGACTCAAAGGGGGACTCACAAACCCCAGGGGTCACAAGGACAAAGGAAGGGCTCTCAGAGGGCACAGGGGAGCCCTGGGGGGAGGGTCCCCACAGGTGCAGGGTGGGGAGGGGGCCGAAGCCCAGGATGGGTGCTGAGTGTGGGAACCCCAAGGAACCTCCTCCCCCCCCCCACACGCACAATAAAAATCACCACCAGGGGCTGGGGATAGGACAGCAGGAGGGTGCTTGCCTGGCACTGACGCCCAGTACCCCATAGGGAGTCAGCCAGGAGCACTGCTGGGTGCGGCACCCCCCCATTCTCCCTCAGGCCGCCTGCAGAAGTGGGGGGCTGGGACTGCCCCTGGAGGCAGCGGCAGGAGTGGGGATGTGGCTGCAGTTCCGGGAGCCCCTGGAGGGCCCACAGAAGGCGGGGACAGCGGGCACAGGGTGAGAAGCCCCAGCCCACCGCCCACCCGGCCATTGCTTTCTCTCTGCCCTCCACAGCAGCCACACCAAGGGCGGCCCAGCAGCCCCCACTCTGCCGAGGGGGCTTCACCAGGCACACAAGCACCCACCAGGGGCGAGGGCGCCCCAGGCTGCTCTGGTGACCCCCCCCCGAATGCCGACACCCACCAACACGGCGGCCCAAACCAATGTGGCCGGATCTATTCCTTCACTTCTTCATTCTCCAAATCACTCCTTCACTCCTCGCTCACTCTGACTCGTTCATCATTCTCACTCGTTCACTTATTCATTGGCTCTCATTCATTCACTCCCACACATTCACTCATTCATGCCACCAGGCTGGCATGAGAACACATCAGGGGCCGGGTGGAAGAGAGGGTCACTGCAAATGCGTCCCCATCCATGGACCCCCGGGAGGAAGCCACAGCCTGGGTGACAGGGCTGTCCAACTTCCCATCTCTGATCGGCTGATCACTTGGGAGGCCTTGGACAGTTCTGGGCATGGGCGGGGCGGGGGGAAGCATTTCTTTCTTCCTAAGATGAGACTCAGGAGACAGAAAGAGGTGAAAATCCCACTCACCCCATCAGAGATGGGAGATACCCTGGCCCATAATAGGGAGCCCCTGAGGATCACGCAGGGGGTCTGAGGGGGGCGCTGATAGACAGGGAGCCTGTGTTTGTGTGTGTGTGGGGGGTTCCTTAATCCAAAATCCACTACAAGACGGAAGCTCTTGCACTGGAGTGATAGCACGGCGAGTAAGAACGTTTGCCTTGCACACGGTCAACCTGGGTTCAATCCCCAGCATCCCATAGGGTCCCCCAAGCACCACCAGGAGTAATTCCTGAGTGCAGAGCCAGGAGTAACCCCTGAGCACCGCTGGGTGTGACCCAAAAGGAGAAAAAAAAAGCATTGAAGAGGGAGAGGAAGTGGGGGGCACGAGGGGCGGACTGCTTAGGGGGAAGCCTAAGTGGCAGGAGCCTGGGTGGGGCCCACATAGCAGGGTACCAAGGAAGGGCACCAGTGGAACATGCCAGAAGGTGCACTCAAGGTGTGCGCCTCCACTTTTGGCCAAACTGGGGGCCTTTTTCTGACCTGTTCCCCTCCTGCCCCCTAATCTCATGCTGCAGCCCCGCCCCCACTGACAGTTTTCACCCATATTCTCCTTGGAACATCCTGGGGGCCGCAAGGGGTAGGGATGAGGGGTGCACATTGAGAAGCCCAGATTTATTTTTTATTTATTTATTGGCTTTGGGGGCCACACCCGGCAATGCACAGGGCTGACTCCTGGCTCTGTGCTCAGGAATCACTCCTGGCAGGGCTCGAGAGGGAGGGATCCTACGGGACGCTGGGGATTAAACCCAGGTCGGCCGCATGCAAGGCAAATGCCCTCCCCACTGGGCTATCCCTCCGGCCGCAAAAGATAAGGGACCTGAATCCTGCGGCACCAAAGCAAATGCCCAGTAAGCAAATCAACAGGCCCGAAGCCCGGCTTTCAAGGAGACGTTTTAACACCCCCAGAGACATTTTAGAAGCTGGCAGGGTGCACTGTCTGCGGACAAGTGGCAAAATGTGCCCAGGGAACATTCACTATCTGAAGTGGTTGAGAGGCTGGGCGGGCAGGACTCTGCATCTGATAAGCAGCGGAGCAGAGAAGGGCCCCCCCCCCCAACTTAGGGACAGAACTTCCTCCTGGACAGTTGACTGGCCAGACACATGTAACTCATTGGATACATTTAACTTGCTAGATAAAGCTAACTCATGAGATACATTTAACTCATGGATACATTTAACTGGATACATTTAGTTCACTAGATACATTTAACCCATGGATACATTTAACTGGATACACTTAACCAATGGACACATTTAACTGGATACAGTTAACTCACTGGATACATTTAACTCATGGATACATTTAACTCTCTGACCACTCCTGATCTCTTTGCTACATTAATTCTGCCTCAGGCTGAGATAGGGGGGCGTGTTTAAGACTCTCACTCTCCGCCACATTTTATTCCAGGGAGTGCAGGCGGGTACTTTGCTAGACCCCAGATGTGCCCAACGCTCAAGGGGGAGCCTCAGCCCAGGAGCCCTTTCTCGGGGACTTGGAGATCAGCTGGAGCCCCCTGCCAACCTTACAGAAACAGGGCAGTGGGGACCCCAGGCAGGCACCCATGATGGCGTCCAGAGGATGAAGGTGACATACAGAGGTGACAGGCAGTGGGGACACACAACACCCAGGGAAACGGGCCTGACATGAGGGCCTCGGGGTGTCCGTCCGCAAAGCATGGGCTCACTCCTGGCCCCCTTGAGGTGGGATAAGGCAGCAGGGAGCACCATATCTGGGAAGAGGCACAGTCTGGGGCTGGCCATGGTGGCCACGCAGAGGCACTCAAGGCTCTCGGCTGCACCCGAAACTGGACCTGCCAGCCCCCAGCAGGCAGAGGGGATGTTGGGGAGACACGCAGCCCAGCAGTGCACACACACACAAACACACACCAGCACCCCTCAAGGACTCTCCCAACATAGCCCTGGGCTGTACACAGGGAAGGGGGACTCACTTGGTTAGGAAACAGACTCGCCCTGGGGCCCCCAGAGCTGGCGCTGGTCACCGGCTTCCTTGCCGGCCCTGCCTCCCTAGAGCCTGGCCTAGTCCCGGGCTCTGAGCACCAGCAAACTGGCCCCCAGGGGCCACAGATGCAGGGACACAGGCAGAGTCTGGCCGGCAGGTGGCGCTGCAGGCAGGGCCGGGCGGGGCGGGAGCTGAGCACTGACACATTGGGCAATGTCATCTGGGATGATGACATACCCGCATGTCATACCCAGGTCACACCCAGGCCGGAGGGTGGGGCCTCAGGGACCCCCATGGCTGTGGGAGGGGCGGGCAAACCTGGAGGGTGGCTCCGGGCCAGCCCGCAGTTTCCGGATTCCTCACCAGGGGGCGTCAGCGGCACCACCCACCCACCCACCCACCCGGGCGCTGCTCCGTGACTTCCACCACCTCTGCCCGGGCTTCCCGGGGCTTTGCTTGCAGAGCAGTGAGAACAGGAAGGCGGGCCGTGCTGGGGGCACGGGAGGGGGGCCACTCACCGCGCTTGGGCTTGGGGAAGCTGTCGTGCAGGCGGAAGACCACCTTCTCCACGAAGTGCTGGATCTCGCACTGCTCGGGGCCGCGGACGAACACCATCCAGTCGTGCGTGAAGCCCTCCGTGGTGGGCTTCTTGCGCAGCTGGGCGCGGTGCCCCAGCTCTAACTTCACCTGGACAGTGCACTGCGGGGAGACAGGCGGGGCGAAGGGGTCAGCAGGGGCGCCGAGACCCGGGGCTCTTGTGCGCACACGCGCAAAACCCAGGCTCGGCTCACCCAAGTCTCCCAGACAACCAGCGCCGCGTCCTGTGCAGGAAACACGCACGCACGCACGCACACACACAAGGATGCTTGCATGGACGGATGCACGCACGCACACACACACGGAGAGATGGATGGACACAAGCACGGATAGACACACGCATGCTGGGACGGATGGCTGGGTGCACGCACGCATGGCAACCGGGTGAGCAGGCGCCCTAGCGGGGGCTGTGGCCCCCATGACCTGCTCGCCCACTGGGGTCTCCCGGGAGGGCTCAGGCTGCAGGCCCCTTGCTGGAGGGTTTTGTCACTGCCACCCCTGCTCCCAGCAGGGCCCCTGGCCGGTCACAGTCAATGCCGAATCCCCGGCGCAGGTTCCGGGGGAGAAACTGTGATTCAGGGACACGGAGAGCGACCAGCAGGAAGCACTGGGTGGGGGGGGGGCGGCAGCTTGACCCGTGATGCTGCCCGCACACTGCCCACGGCAGCCGCTTCCTCCAATCGAAGGGGACCGTGGGGGCTTCCACCCCTCAAAACACAAAGCCACAGACTTCAAAGAGCGGCACCAGGCAGGCGGGGAGGGAGCCCGCGGCTCACCCCGTGACAACGGCAATGTTACCAGAGCACACTTGTCACCGGGGAAGCGGGGAAGCCCGGGCTTCCCGAGACACACCCCCGCATTCAACTCAGGCCTTCCTCGGCACTCCAGAGCAGCCTGGCGGGCCCTCGGCCCCCAGCTCCACCCCGGCTCTGGCCAATTCAGACCACACACACACACACACACACACACACACACACACGTACGTACGTGCACGCGCGCACCACCACCAGAGAACACAGCAGCCCCGACCTTCCCAGCCCCCTGGGGCTGAGGTGAGCCGGGCTTTCCTCTCCACACCTCCAGATAGATGCTGAGCTGAGCATAGGGGGCAGTGTGGTCCCACAGATGCAGACCCCCACCCCCCACACACACACACTAGTACACGCAGCGCCTGTGAGCTAAGAGGACGGAAGCAGAGAGAGGGAAGGCCGTGCACCCACATTCCTGCTCAGTAGGGGGCCCGCCTTCCCCAATTACAGCGGAGGCAGGAGGCCACTCACTGGATGCGCCCCAGATGCCCCTGGGTGTGCCTTTTCTGGAGCAAACCCCGCCAGCTCCCCTCCAGAGCCCTTTGTCACGTGCGGGTAACCCCAGCAGTGGCACCGCTGGCTGGCTCCTGGACCCTCCCTGGCCCCCCAACAGCCCTCTCTGGGGAGCCCAGGACATGCACACTGCACCCATCACCTTGCGGGCTGAACCAGAGCAGTGTGCAGCCCCCCCGCCAGATGCTGGCCAGGAAGGGAGGGATTGGGGGGGGCACCACTGGAAGCCACAGGAGAGAAATCACAGGGTGGGGCTGAACAGAAGGCAGAGACCCCTGGACAGCAGCACCCCGGACAGACAGGGACACACACACACACACACTCACTCAGGCTAGGAGGAAGCCAGAGGGCGGCAGGTTGGGACAGCTGGGAGCATAATGCCCAGGGGGACAGCGAGGGTTTTTTGAGGGGGGGGCACTTCATGGGAGATGGCAGCAGCCCCCAGCCCCTGAGCTCAGAGGCAGACAACACTGCGACTAGCACCGTGTGGAGGGGCTGCACGTAGCCCCTCTCTGTTAGAACACACGCAAGGGGCGGGTCACACCCCTGGAGCCCCCGACTCCTCCTTCCCCCTCCACCGAGAGGGGCCCAGCACCGGCCATCCTGAGGATGATGAGCGGCTACTGGGAGGCCAGGCATTCATGAAGGGGTCCCGCGCGGCACCCACTGGCAGCTGGCCACCCCCTCCAGGGGCCGGAGTGGGAGGCACCTTGTAAGCTGGGGAAGCTGAGCCCCGCGGTATCTGGGCAGCCTCGGGGCGGGACGTGGGGTTAGAGAAGGGGTTGGGGGCTACATCCCTGGGTCTACAAGGCACTCGAGGTGCCTGCTCGTTCCTGGGCCCCCCACTGTCCAGCAGGCTGCACCCAGGGTGCGGGCACCCCCTCCTTCCCCTAATCCACCTGGCCCAGGGCCCAGTTCACTAGCTCATTGGAGCCGGGCGGCCAGGGAGCGCACCCGCTGCCCAGAGGCCGTGCCTGGGACTGCCCCGTGGATGCCAACTCCCTTGTCCCAAGGTCCACCCAGCACCCCACTGCTCGCGGCTCCTCTCACCCAGGCCAGGCTGCCAGGGGCGCTGGGAGGCAGGTTCCCTATGGGGTCTGCTCCCCTAGACCTGGGGGCTGGGCCTGAGGGCAGAGGCACTCAGCGGAGGGCTGCGCACCCCCCAGGGGTATGGCCCTAGCCAGCAGAGCCCTCACCCCGCCCTCTGCTCCTTGCCTCCCCGCGCGCCCAGGGTCCCCAGAGACGGCTCTTTAAGCCGGTCTCCAGGGTTTCACATCTGTGGTTGGGGATGCCCCGGCAGGCAGCGGCCCTGCCCGCTGGGAACCCACACTGGCCCAAGGGGCACAATTACCCCTGAAGTCGGGCACAGCGGGCCCCGATCTCCTGCCCTCGGGCTTTCCCTGGGAGCCTCCTTGGACTCCGGCCATGACAAGTACAGGGAGGAAACCGCAGCCGAGCCTGCTGCCTGCACCCCGTTGCGAAGAGTAAGGGGCTCCCCCAGGACGCCTGCAGGAAACCCTGGCCGCCAGGGCCGGAAGGGAGCAGCACCTGCACCCCACTTCTGGCTCAGCCCAGGGGCTCAAGGGGCTGCTCCCCGACTCCCCAGAGCCGCAGCTGGTGGGACCAGGGTCCCTACAGTAGCCCCCGCGGGGAGAGGCATCAGCTCCCCAAGGCTCTGGGACAGTCGGGGACACGCTGGGAGTGACCAGGCTGGCCAGAGCACAGGGGGACAGATGCCGGCTGCTTCTGATAGCCCAGAAGGTGGGGCTGGGGGCGCAGAAAGGGGACCCAGCCCTGCCCCTCACCACACGTCCCCGCCCCGGTCTCAGACCTTTACAAGATGCAGGCTTTAGCCTACAAGCAGGTGGAGGCAGGGTTGGAGTGAGAGGACAGTGGGGACAGCGCTGTCCTTGCACTTGGCCGACCCGGGTTCGATTCCCAGCATTCCAGAGGGTCCACTGAGCCCCGCCATAAGCAAGCCTTCAGCGCGGAGCCTGGAGTCAAACCCGAGCACTGCTGGGTGTGGCCCCCAAAACCAAAACATAAAGGTGAGGGAAGCTGACTTCTGGAGGGGTAATGTGTAAGGGGAATGTATGTGAGTGTGCGTGTATTGTGTGTGTGAGTGTGAATGTGTGTGCGAGTGTATTTGTGCGTATGTATGTGTAGTGTGAGTGTGCATATGTGGTGTGTGTGTTTGCCGGTGTGTGTGCGTGCAGTGTGAGTGTATGTGCAGCTGTGTGTGTATGTGTGGTGTGTATGTGTGCAGTGTGTGTATGAGTGGTGTATGAGCGTGTGTATTGCATGCGTTTGTGAGTGTGAATGTGTGTTCGAGTGTGTATGTGTGGTGTGTGTGAGCGTGAGAGTATTTGCGGTGAGTGTGTATGTGTGGCTTGTGTGTGTGTGTGTGTGTGTGTGTGTGTGTGTGTGGTATGGCTCTGTGCCATGGCAGGCATCCTTGTGGGCTGCCCGAATTCCTCCAGGGCCCATCGTCTGTGGCCCAGGAAGCATCACGAGTGAGAACACAGCCTGGGACCCGCGTCCACGCCTTGAAGACTTGAGGGTGCCGTGTGATGGGACCTCCACATTCAGGACCTCCACACCCAGACACCCAGGGACCCTGATGGCCCCAAGCCTCTTTCCCCTTCTTCCTGCGCTGCCTCCAGGTCCGCCCAGCCTCTCCTACCCCAAGGGAGAAATCACAACCCGCCCCTGCCCCCCTGCAGGGAGCCGAGACCCTCCGACCCTCCCTTCCTCTCTAAGCTCACAGATGCGCCCAGGCCCCTAGACCACAGGGCTGTGGGGGGGAGGGGCCATGACACTGAGAAGTCACGACCAGGGCAGAGGGACGCAGGAGGTCTTGCCCTGGCCAAGAGTTCTGAGCCAAGCCTGGAGGGGACAGGGACTCGGTGGACACGGCCAGCCGGCGGGGTGGGCTGGGGTCCCGGCGGGGCTCAGGCACCCTGAGGCCCAGGATGCAGCCCCCTCCCGGGGTCGCTCAGGCCCCCACACTCCGGGGTGAAAGGGCCCATTCTCTCGCCCTCCCCAGGGCCCTTGGGAGGAAGGACAGAGCTGGACTGGATGAAAACACAACTGGGGACAGAGCCCCCCCCCCCCCACACACACACACGCCGGGACTGACACAGCTCCCCCCCTGGGACCAGTTTCCCTTGCAGACATTTCCCGAGGCGCCAGAGAGGCCCCGGCCATCCAGATGGGGCTCCCGGGCCCTCTGCGTCCTGTCTCGTCAAGTCTAGTTCCCTTGAGCCGAAGACCCCCAGGGTGGGGGGCGGTGGACCCGAGGGAGGGCCAGGCAATCCCAGCCCCTCCTTCCTCCTTCCAGAACCAACGGGGAGGCCTGGCCTGGGGCTCACGGGGGTGAACACCTGCTGTCCCAACCTGGGGTGCCCGACAAGAAGGGGGCGCGGTGGGGTCCTGACACGGGACGGGGCGCTGGCTGCTCCCCACCCCGCGCGCATGCGTGCGCGCGCACACACGCGCGCACAGGGGGGGCAGACAGACAATCCAGGGCGCAACGTTCCCGGGGTCCAGGCTGTGATGCCCCCGAGGCTGGGGAGGGAAAAGGGGGCAGCGAGGCCTCCACCCCCCAGATGGGCAGCACCGAGTTTCCCACCCCCTCCACCCCGACAAGCTCGCCGGCACCCCAGCGCCTGGGCGCACGGCGCAGCCACAGCGGCGCCAGCAGCCAGGGAGGCCCGGACCTGCCCAGGCTAACGGCGGAGACTTGAGCGGGCAGCCCCACGCCGCACCTCTCCTGGCGCGGGGCGGGGGGCGCAGCGATGACCTACCCGCAGCAGGGGGCTCTGGGAAGGCTGAGAGAAGACATTATGGGGTGGGGGGCACCCTAGGGTGCAGAACCGTCCCCTCCCCCCCACCCCCGAGGCTCTGAGACGGGGGACAGAAGGCGAGAGGGGAAAAGTGGCAGGGTCGGGCCATGGGCGCCGGGAGGAAGCTGACAACACCGAATGCTCAGGGGTCCGAGAGGGGCAGGGGGACCCCCGGGACTTGGATGCACCCCTCCTACCCCATCTAAGCGAGCGCAGAGCCAGGCCCGGCGTCCAGGCCTTGCAATCCCAGGTGGGGAGGCAGGCCAGGGCCAGGGCAGAATTGCGTTTGGGCCCCTTGGGGGCCAAAGACTAAGGGTTTCGGGCCAGGGTGTGTGGGGAAACCGAGGCAGGCCCGGAGAGGCAGATGGGAAAGGTGGTGAGGGCGGCGGGAGGCGTGTGTGTGTATGTGTGTGTGTGTGTGGGGGGGGGTGTCTGCGGATCACGCTCCCACAGGGGCTGCCTGGAGACTCGGGGAGGCGGCGGAGCCCCAGGGGTGTCCGAGCAGGGTCTGGGCGGGCGGAGCGGGGCCAGGCAGAGGGGGGCTTCGGTGGGACCAACGCAGCGAGCGGCGGGTGGGGTGGGGTGCGGTGGGGGGAGTCGGAAAGTTGCAAGGGGACTCGGGGAGGAGCCGGCGCTCACCCCCGCGAGATGCAACGCGGGGCCAGGGGGTGTGCGGGCCCTGGGAACCCCAGGGGTTCCCGGGGTGCACGCGGGGCGCTGGACCGACCGGGCAGGGGTGCCAGCCAGGTAGCTCCCGGCGGCGGCGGGGGGGCGGAGGGGGCGCGCCGGGGCCGGCCCGGACTCCTCCCCCAGGGGCGTCCCGGGCCGGCCCGGTCGGGGCGCCCAGCAGGAAAGTCCCGGGGGCCGCTGGGCCCCTCGGGGGGCGGGGTGGGGGGAGGGTCCCCGCGGCGCAGCATCCCCGGCGGGACGGGATCGGAGCGGGGCAGCGCGGGCTGCGCGGGGCCGGGCTGGGGGGCGCGCACCGGGGGTGGGTGGGTGGGGGTCGCGCGGGGCCCGGGCGGGCGGGCGCGCGCGCGCGTGGGGGAGGAGCGCCCCGGCCCCGGAGAAAGGCACAAAGCGGGGCGGGGGGCGCGCGCGGGGGGGCGGCGGGGGGCGGCTCACCTGATTGTCCATGGCTGGCGCCCCGCCCCGCCCCCGGGCCCCGCGTCGCTCGCCGCCGCCTGCTCAGCGCCGTCCCGCCGCGCGCATTGTCCGGCCGCCGCCGCCGCCGCCGCCCCGGCCGCCCGCCCGCCCGCCCGCCCCGCGGAACCGGAAGCCGCCGCCAGCCCGGGTCGCGCACCGACCGCGGCCCCCGCCGCCGCCGCCTCCTCCGGCTCCTCCGGGCCCGCCGCCCCGACGGACGGGCGCGCGGGCCAATGGCGGCGCGGGACGGGGCCCGCGGGGCGGGACTTCCGGCCCGGCGGGGCCGCGGCGGGCGGGGCGCCGAGGAGCGGGCGGCGGCCAATGGGCGGCCGCGAGCCGCGGGGCGGGCGGGGGCAGGGAGGGAGGAGGAGGGAGGAGGGGGGAGGAGGGAGGGGGGAGGGGGGAGGGAGGGAGGAGGCGCCAGGCGAGCCCCGCCCGCGGCCGGCCGAGCGCAGCGCGAGGCGTGTGTGCGGCGCACGTGGAGGGGGCCGGGCGCGCTGCGCCTGCGCGCGGCGACGCCCTCCGCGGGGCGGGGCGGGGCGGGGCGGGGCGGCGCCGAGGGAGGTCGTGGGTTCGAGGCCCGGGCAGGGCGCTCCGCTCACTGCGCCCTCCTTTGGTTTTCCTGGTCACGCGCCGCTTCTAGGCGCTTTGGACGGTGCCTCGATGGCTCGGCAGCTTCAGCTTTCCCGTCCCGAGCCTGCCGGGGCTCCCTCCACTCCCTCCCCCAATCTTCTCCCCACGCCAAGCCCCCTCCCCGCCACCGTGCACCTCTCCGGAGAGAGTGCAAAAGGAACAGTCCCTACCTGGCTGCAACCGCAGGACAGAAGACAGCAGCTCTTGAAATCGGTGCTTGCTGGCGTGAGTCGGGGGTGTTTTTGTGGCCAAAGACGTTGGAAAGGCAACTTGGGGGTTCCCGAGGGATCTCAGGGTGCAGTGTGCATGCCCCTAGAGCTCGCTCTCTCAAACACACACACACACACACTCACTCTCTCACTCTGCCACCACGCCCCACCCCAGGCCCAAGTCCTGCACTGCCTAGTGTGGCCCCTATTTGAAAAAATGATGAATAAAAGATGAAGCTCTCCTTGCGAAATGAGCACGGAGTTGTCCAAGACTCTGAAATTTCATGGTGCATGGTTATACATTCATGTCTTCTCACCTTAATCTCTTAATTTGATCTGTTTTGGGGCTGCAGACATAAGACAGCAGGGAGGGCACTTGTCCTGCACGTGGACAACCCAGATTCAATCCCCAGCATCCCATAGGGGCCCCCGAGCCCTGCCAGGAGTGATTCCTGAGTGCAGAGCCACGAGAAAGCCCTGAGCATTACTGAGTGTGACCCCAAAACTAACCGAAACTAAAAAGGGAAGACCATCTCTGCCTCGCTGGTTCTATGCCTGTCCACTGCCGCCCACTGGGAGCTGAGAGCACCCTGACGGCGTGATTCCTGAGTCAGGGATATGAAAGAGGGCTTCCTGGTGGTGGGGAAATGGATACTGGGCCTTGAATGGTGTTGAAAGGGGATGGTGATTTGTTGCAGTGGGGGGTGTGGAAGCAAACCTTGACGATAGCTTGGAAGATGGGCTTGTGTCGGATAATATCCCTCACTGCCCAGCACATTGCATCCTCAGAGGAATAACTTCAAACAAATATTTTGCTCATGGATCTGCACATTGGAAGGGTAGGGACAGCTCCCCGGGATGAGCACTGTCCAAGGTGGGAAATGTTTTTCCCCATGTGGGCTTATCCACCAGGAGCGTACTTGAGTTTCCTCTCTCTGTGAGGTGGCTGGGCTCTGAGTGTGTGTCCGGAAAAAATCAGGAGGCAGATTTCCTAGCCTCTGAAGACACAGGAGATTATTTTCCAGCCCAGAAACCTTTTCTCCTTTGAGGGGAAGAACATGGACATACAGAAAGAAGCTTAGAAGTGGTACAGAGCCTTGGATGATAGAAACGAGGGCCAGGAGGACTGGCCTATGATTGGAAGCTTGTCGCAAGTGGGAACGTGAGGGAAAGGGCAGTTAGGACAGAGAAGGGACCAGTATGACAATGACAGTTGAGAAATGACCACTCTGGACAGATTTGAATGCTAAAATTAGGTAAAGGGATATGCATGATAACTTTATAGTACCTATACTGCAAGCCATAATGATCAAAAGGAAAGGGAGAGGGGAAAAGAGAGAAGGAGGAAGAAGGAGAAGGAGAAGGAGAAGAAGAAGAAGAAGAAGAAGAAGAAGAAGAAGAAGAAGAAGAAGGAGAAGGAGAAGGAGAAGGAGAAGAAGAAGAAAAAGAAGAAGAAGGAGGAGGAGGAGGAGAAGAAGAAGAAGAAGAAGAAGAAGAAGAAGAAGAAGAAGAAGAAGGAGAAGGAGAAGGAGAAGGAGAAGGAGAAGGAGAAGGAGAAGGAGAAGGAGAAGAAGAAGAAGAAGAAGAGGAGGAGGAGGAGGAGAGGAGGAGGAGGAGGAGGAGAAGAAGAAGAAGAAGAAGAAGAAGAAGAAGAAGAAGAAGAAGAAGAAGAGGAGGAAGAGGAGGAGGAGGAGGAGAAGAAGAAGAAGAAGAAGAAGAAGAAGAAGAAGAAGAAGAAGAAGAAGAAGAAGAAGAAGAAGAAGAAGAAGAAGAAGAAGAAGAAGGAAAGTGTCTGCTATAGAGGCAGACTGGGGCAAGATGATGGTGGAAGTAGGGACCTTGGAGAGATTGGTGCTGGGAAATGTACACTGGTGAAGGCACAGGTGTTGGAATTCTGTGCTACTGAAACCCAGTCATAGATCACTTTGTAATTGTTTATCTCACGGTCATCAGTACGAAATTCATTTTAAATAAGGAAGTGGTACAGGGGCCAGACCAATGTTACAGTGGGGAGGGTGCTTGTCTTGCATGAAGATGACGTGGGTTTGATCCCTGGCGTTCCATCTGGTCCCCCAGGCCCACCAGGAGTGATCCCTAAGTGCAGACCCAGGAGTAAGCCCTGAGCACTGTTGGGTGTGGTCCAGAAGAAAAAAAAAGTGCAGTCAGGAATGCGGGCGGAAGGAGAGACCAGTCTAGAAAATATGCCATCTCTCCTTCCTCCTTGACAAAGTTGACGACCCACTCCCTTGGCAATTACAGAGGGTGGGTTTTTTGTTTTGCTTTGGTGTGTGTGGGGTCACACCCAATGGTGTTCAGGGCTGACTCCTGGTTCTGTGCTCAAGTATCACTCCTGGCAGGGCTCAAGGGAGCCTATGGGATGCTGGGAATCAAACTCAGGATGGCCCCATGCAAGGCAAACACCTCCCTGCTGTACTATCTCTCCACCCCCTGTTTTTGTTTTTGTAACAAACCGGGTAAAGTCCCATCAATCCATCTTTGCTCTGTCTCATCAGAGATGAGGACCTTAACTATCTAGTTGGTCCACATTGCACTGTCTCTAAGTTGGCTCCAATTTTATTCTTCTCAGTCAGACCAACTGTAACCGTCTCATTGAACTCCATCCCTACCCTCTCCCGAACATTCAAAGTCTCATCTTGCAAGATTTTACTGCCTTCTGATACATAGATATTGACTTCCAAGTCTGTTGTCTTATTCCCAGACTAGAAAGGACAGGGGAGTGTGTGTGTGTGTGTGTGTGTGTGTGTGTGTGTGTGTGTGTTGAGAGTAGAAGATTTGCAGTAACTGTCTGGGTCATACGGCAGTTACAGTGGCGTCATTGGGTCATAATGTGAAATGTTGCTGATGTACTTCATTGAGAAGTTTTGCTTCTTCTCATCTTTCTTTCAAATTCCTTGGAGAAGGAAGTCTTGGTTTGGTTCTCAGGAGAACAGGCTAGCTTTCACTCTTTGCCATCTTACATGAAGATACAAATATCTATATATATGTATATGTGTGTAGATATATATACGATATATATACAATATATATATGGCATGGTATTCAAAGCCAGCGAAGGGTTGACCATCTGCAGTGGCTCTTAACAGCTTTATCTGTATATTGAAGAACTGAAGACAGGTTTTTTTTTTCCTTTTGAGTCATACCCGGCAATGCGCAGGGGTTACTCCTGGCTCATGCACTCAGAAATTACTCCTGGCGATGCTCGGGGGACCATACGGAATGCTGGGAATCGAACCCGGGTCGACCGCGTGCCAGGCAAACGCTCTACCCGCTGTGCTATCACTCCAGCCCCCTGAAGACAGTTTAAAAATATATATATATATCTGGGTCCCTCCATCAGGGTTTTATTTATCTAGAGTAACATTCCAAAAAAATAAAACAGCGACAGTTCTAACCCCACCTTTGCAACTTCACTTAGAAATTCTCATAGACAGACCGGGTTCACGATCGCTGAGCTGGTGTTGTTACTGTATCTAGTTTTCTGATTACTTCTTTGCTTTTTTGATCTGTAACAAACGACTCCTTCGAACGACACAATGTTTCCTATTTAAATTGCTCTCCTCCCGGGGAGTAGACTTCAAGAAAAACAGATAGTAATTTGAGCCCCGGCACAAGGCGGGATGGATACAAGCTATCTGGATGTTACCAAAAATTAAACAGCCACAGAGCAGGGCTCTCGCTTGATCGCTACTAAGTAACATTTTGAAAAGGACCCGACTTCCGCTCTGCCGCTGAGTTGGTCTCTACCGCCCTCTGGTGGTTTGGTCTATTTGTACCCCAGGGTAGAACTTGGTTTTTATGCTTTAAGGATGATTTTGGACAGGATTCTTTCCAAGGACTTGGTATTTATGGCTTTACAGTCATTCAAGATAGTTTTAGGGCATGCGCAGGAGAATCCTTTTATAGCCTCCGGCTTTTGGTTTGTTTGTTTTGCTTTTTTTGGGGGGGGTTACACACAGCGATACACAGATGTTACTCTTGGCTCTGCACTCAGAAATTATTCCTGGCGGTGCTCGGGGGATCATATGGAAAGCTGGGAATCAAACCCAGATTGACCGCATGCAAGGCAAAAGGCCCTACCCGCTGTGCTATTGCTCCAGCCCCCAGCCTCCAGTTATGTCCCCAAGTAACTCCCAAACTTCTCCCCTTCACACTAGCCATAAAAGCACTGGATGCGGTTTCCTACCAGGCACGAACATGCACGTTCATGGCAATATTGAATCCAGTCAAGCCAGATAAGACTTCTGATGAGGGACTGGAGCGATAGCACAGAGGGTAGGGCATTTGCCTTGTACGCGGCCGACCTGCGTTCGATTCCCAGCATCCCATATGGTCCCTCCAAGCACAGCCAGGAGTAATTCCTGAGTGCATGAGCCAGGAGTAACCCCCGTGCATCACCGAGTGTGACCCCCACCCAAAAAAAAAAAAGACTGCTGGTGAAAGAAGAGACCAACTCCAGATTCACTTCAACTCACAGTAGCTCTTGACTATCCAGGGACCATGAATGGTTTGAGATCACTCCCAAAACTAAGTGCCATGTGGCGTTTCTCCAGAAAAAAAAAAAAGACCAGTCTTGGGGACATTAGTCATTTTCTCTCTGACATCACTTTCCTGCTTTTTTTTAAAAAACGTTTTTGATATTAGGGGCTGGGGTGATAGTAAGGGAGTTGGATGCTTGCCTTGCATGCAGCTGACCTGGGTTCTATCCTCAGCACCCTGAAACCCCACCAAGAGTGATCCCTGAGCATAGATCCAGGAGTAAACCCTGAGCACAGTCAGGTGTGACCCCCCCAACAAATATATATTTTCATATATATAAGATATAATGGGCTGGAGTGATAGCACAGCGGGTAGAGCGTTTGCCTTGCAAGTGGCCAACATGGCCGATCCGAGTTCTATTCGTCGGTCCCTCTCAGAGAGCCCGACAAGCTACTGAGAGTATCTCACTCACACGGCAAAGCCTGGCAAGCTCCCCGTGACGTATTCGATATGCCAAACACAGTAACAATTGTCACAATGGAGATGTTACTGGGACCACTCCAGCAAATTGATGAACAATGGGAGGACAGTGACAGTGATAATATATAATACATAATACATATATATGTGTATTTATTTTTCATTTTTTTCCTAGTATCAGTGTCTTACCTGAGAACTTCTGCCACAGTCACTTCAGACAATAAGGCAAGTTTCTCTGAGTTTTTTTCCACATCTATTCTTTTCGTTTCTTTGCTTGGGACCACACCCAGCAGTGCTCAGGGCTTACTATGACTCTGCACACCAGAATTACTCCTGGGGGCTGGAGCGATAGCACAGCGGGTAGGGTGTTTGCCTTGCATGCAGCCAACCCCGGTTCAATTCCCAGCATCCCATATGGTCCACGGAGCACCATCAGGAGTGATTCCTGAGTGCAGAACCAGGAGTAACCCCTGTGAATCGCTTGTTGTGACCCAAAGAGAAAATAAAAAAAAAATTACTCCTAGTAGTGCTCACGAATCACGACCATCCTGTTATTCGTCGATTGCCTCGAGCAGGCCCCAGTAACGTCTCCTTCATCCTAGCCCTGAGATTATATTCAAGGCTCTTTAGGAGAATGAGACCCATCATTGTTACTGGTATTTGGCATATTGGGTACGCCACAGGGAGTTTGCCAGACTCTGCCGTGTGGGCAGGCTACATTCGGTAGCCTGCCAGTTTGTCCAAAGTAGGAATGAGATAATAAGATGTCATAATAAGATGTCGCGCGGCCACGAATGCGGCCGCGTGGTTCCGGGCGGGAGCTGGTTTTTATAGTCTCTGAGTCTTGGCCCTTGATGGGATTACACGGTGCCAGGGGGCCAGGTGGTGGGTGTGACCCCCGCCTACTGGAATTTGGACGATCTGGGTGGAGGATACTTGGCCCCAATCTGAGTAGGCTTGGAGATCTCAGCCTACTAGTGCTAGGGGGACCCTATGGGGTGCCAGGGATCAAACCCTGGTCAGCTCCATGTCAGGCAAGTGCCCTCCCCGCTGTACAATTACTCTGCCCCTTTCACAGCTGTTATTCTGGGAAGACATCAGCTCATGCCACAACTTGAGGGAGGCTTGAGGGAGCTCAAGGGAGGTCCCCCACCCCCCTTCTCCCAGCTCCCGCTCTGTAATTAGTCAGTTTCATTTTACTGGTAACTGACCAGGGCAAAGAACTTCAGGGAAGGGGCTGGAGTGAGAATACAGAGGGGAGGGCTTGCATGCAGCCAACCTGGGTGTGATCCCCAGAATCCCAGCGGGTCCCTCGAGCACTGCATTCCGTATCGGGTCCCCCTAGCACCGCCAGGAGTAATTCCCGAGTGCAGAGCCAGGAGTAACCCCTGGGTTTTCCAAAAAGCAAAATGAATGGTTCGGTGGATGGGTGGATTCATCAGTGGATGAAAAGGTGGGAAAGAGATCATAGGGCCAGGAAACGGCTCTGGTGTGTGTGTGGGGAGGGAGTCTAGGACCTTCTATGTGTTAGGCCCTGGGTTAGAGGCCCAGCCCTGCATCGCTGCTCTAAGCATCCCTAAAATATATATAAATAATAGCACTGTAGCACTGTCCTCCCGTTGTTCATCGATTTGCTCGAGCGGGCGCCAGTAACATCTCACAACAAATTGTGAGACTTCTTGTTACTTGTGTTTGGCATTTTGAGTACGGCATGGGGGAGCTTGCCAGGCTTTGCCGTGCGGGCGAGATGGAAGGGAAAATGAGTGATCGAATAAACGAATCAATGATTATTCAATGGAGTTCAAAGGGCCGAGGGATAGATGGATGGATAGATGTGCGAGGATAAATGAACGCTGGATGGAGGTGGTGAGTGGGTAGATGGATGGACATATTCAAAGATGAAAGGATGGGGCCAGAAAGATAGCACAGTGGTTAGGGCACTTGCCTTCCACGCGGATGACCTGGGTTCCATTCCCAGAATCCCATATGGTCCCTCAAGCCTACAGGAGTCTACAGGAGTGATTCCTGAATGTATGAGCCAGGAGTAACCCCTGAGCACCATCAGTAGTGACCCCCCTCCACAAAAAAAAAAAAAAGATGAAAGGATGAGAAAACAGTTACAGATTTGCCAGACTTCGTGCCAAACGATTCACATACTTTGTCTTCCTTTTTTGGTGGCCGGGGGGGAGCAGTTTGAGACACAGTCGGTGATGTTGGGGCGACCGTGTGCGGTACAAGGAATCAAACCAGGACCCGCCGTCACATCTCAAACAAAGGTTTTTCCCTGGAACTACCCATTTAATCTTGTTCAATGTAGACAGAAAACCCACGACAGAAGAAATATATATATTTTTTATAAGGCAGATGTTTGAGCTTCAGAAGTCAGGGTGTGAGTGTGGGGGGAAATCTCTACTGCAATATGTCGGGCAGGACAGGAACTTAGTGGAGTGGTTTCAAGTCTCCATCAACCTACCTCCAGGACCTGTGCTCTGCGCCGCCCCCAACTTCCCTTCCTCCACCGCTGTGAGAGCCTTGGGTCAGTCACCTCAGAACCCCCCCTTCATGCCCATGTCCAGTCCGGGCTCGAGACCAGCCTCGTCTGCGCCCGCACCCCCCAGTAGATCAAGTTCATGCGAGCCGCGGGACGAGTCTGCAGAAGGATCGTCACAGGTGAACTGGGGTTAGCAGCCGAGATCTCCAAGCTCGGGGCTGGAGAGATGGCACAGCGGGGAGGGCGTTTGCCTTGCACATGGCCAACCCAGGTTCGATTCCCAGCATCCCATAGGGTCCCCTGAGCACCGCCAGGAGTAACTCCTGAGTGCAGAGCCAGGAGTAACCCCTGTGCATCGCGGGGTGTGACCCAAAAAGCAAAAAAAAAAAAAGAAAAAAGAAAAAAAAACAAGATCTCCAAGCTCTGGAAGGCCCTCCGAGTGCCAGAACCCTAGCATGGCCAGGGCCAGGGCCAGGGCCAGTGTCTGCTTCTAAGCACCCGGCCTGGCCTGCCACCTTATCCTGAAGACACGGGATGCCCACACCTGGGGATCCAGCGCCCCCTTCTGGGCAGCGCCCGACCGGTAAGCCAGGAACCGGAAGTGGGGTCTGGAGGGGAGCTGGGTTAGGGGTCACCCCACAGGGGTGGTGGGTGTCATCAGAAGCTCTTGAGTGCTGGGGGGGCGGTGTCTGTCCCCGGTCTTGGGGCATGGTGGTGGGGTGGAGGGGGGTGATGCAGAATGCGGGGAGAAGAAGCCAGGGGGGCCTCTCAGCTCCCCACCCATCTTTGTCCTGTCCACACGGGAGCGCCAAGTCACTGGCAGCGGCGCTCCGGGTCCAGCTTCAGCAGCTCTTGTCCTCGTCGCTGACTTCCACATAAGGCAGCCCCACGGGCCACGAGTCTCGCGGCCAGTAGCGCACTTTCAGCGTCTCCCCCGGCATCTCGTACCTGGCGTCCACTAGGGCCATCGTGACCATGCCGTAGGGAAAGGTGATGCTGATGAGGACGTGCCTGGGGGCAAGAGGGTCGAGAGGGCATGGGGATCCCTGGCCTCTCCCCCCACCCCACCCCACCGCCTCTTCTTCCTGATCATCCAAATCTGACCCCCAGGCGGCCCCCTCACCGGCCTCATCCTCCCCCATCGCTGCCCGCCCGGGCGCCCGCTGAGCTGGCAGGGACTTACCAGATGCTGTGTAGGTAGAAGAAATGAATCCGCTGCCAAAAGCTGCAGAGCAAGCGGTCACTGATCCAGCTGGTCAGCGCGAAAGCCCATAAGACGACAGAGACCTCGATGACGTGTCGAAGCTCCTTGTTGCTAGCCCTGGGGGCAGGGGGAGGGAGGAGGGGTGAGCCCCAGCCAGGTGAGGGGCAAAGGCTTAAGCAGGGGCTGATGGGAAATTCTTCCATCCAGAGCCCATGGGACTGGAGTGATAGGACAGCAGGGAAGGCGTTTGCCTTGCACAGAGCTGAGCGGAGTTTGATCCCCGGCATCCCACAGGGTCCCCTGAGCACCGCCAGGAGAAATTCCTGAGTGCAAAGCCAGGAGTGACCCCTGAACATCACACATCACTGAGTATGCCCCCCAAAAAGAAAGAGGTAAGGGGGGGCAAATGAGACCTTATGGAGCCAGGAGATAGTACAGAGGCTAGGGTGACCCCAATCCAAGTTTCTCCCCCGAGCACATCGCACATCGTATGGTCCCCCAGGCATCACCAAAGTGCAGCCCCTGGAGCGACCTGGAGATCCCTAACGCTACAGAATCACATTAGCATCAAATTCTCTGCCTCTGGGGCTGGAGCGATCGATAGCACAGCGGGTAGGGCGTTTGCCTTGCACGCAGCCGACCCGGGTTCGATTCCCAGCATCCCATATGGTCCTCCGAGCACCGCCAGGAATAATTCCTGAGTGCATGAGCCAGGAGTAACCCCTGTGCATCTCCGGGTGTGACCCAAAAAGCAAAAAAAAAACTCTGCCTCTCGCCCTGAACCAACAATCTGATTGGCTGAGAAGTGCCTGTGCTCTGGCCCCCAGATAATCAAATAAAATGGGACCATTTGCACAACCCAAAAGACGGAGTCAGGAAAAAAAAGAAAAGAAAAGAAAAGAAAAAAATACAAAGAAAGAAGTTCAGTTTCAAGGCCAAGGTTGAAGTGGAGAGATAATCCAGCAGGCAGGACGCTGGCCTTGAAGGCAGCCAACTTCAATGCCACCCCCAGACCCGCCAATGGTCCCCAGGCACCACCAGGGGTCACTACTGAGCACAAAAATTAGGACTTGCCCCTGAGCGCCACAGGGTTTAGCCCCGGGACCGAAAATCATCATTCTCATCGCCAAAAAAAACTCAGAGTGGGCTGGAGCGATCGCACAGCGGGGAGGGCATTTGCCTTGCACGCGGCTGACCCGGGTTCGATTCTCAGCATCCCATATGGTCCCCCAAGCACTGCCAGGAGTAATTCCTGAGTGCAGAGCCAGGAGTAATCCCTGAGCATCGCCGGGTGTGACCAAAAAAGCCAAAAAAAGAAAAAATCTCAGAGTACCTCTACACACACACACACCACCGGAAGTGACCCCCAAACAGCGTGGAGTGTGGCCCAGCGCACACACACACATGCACACGAGAAGCTGGCAGACCCTCAGCCTTGGGCAAGGGTCCAGCCTGGGGCCCTCTGGGGCGGCTGATCTTGGAGAAAGCCCCGCCCTCCCGAGCAGGGAAGGGGCCGTGGGGGGTGGAGGGCGCCCCCGCAGACACCCACTTCTTGTACTCGTGGAACATGATGTAGAGGATGTGGAAGGCGATGCTGTTGAGGGCGTAGGCGTTGATGGTGGGTCTCAGGAAGGACAGGAAGGTGCTGATCACTGTGGCGAGGAGCACCAGGCGGGAGAAATGCAGCCTGCCGGGAGAGAGGTTAGCTTGGGGGAGGGGAGGGAGAGGGGTGGGGGAGGGCTCTGCTGGGGGAGGGGAATGGAGGAGAGGGGGGTTCAGCTGGGGGAGGGGGGTAGGAGGGGAGGGTGAGAGAAAGGGAGGAGGGAAGGAGAAAGGAAGGAAAGAGGGTAAGAAGGGAGGGAGGGAGGAAAGGTGGGAGGGAGGGAGGGAGGGAGGGAAAGAAGGAAGGAACGAAGGAGGGAAGGAAGGAAGCCAGGAAGCAAGGAAGGAACGAAGGAAGGAAGGAAGAAAGGGAAGAAGGAAGGAAGGAAGGAAGAGAGGAAGGAAGGGAGGGAGGGAGGGAAGGAGGAAGGAAGGGAGGGAGAAAGGAAGGAAAGAAAGTAAGAAGGGAGGGAGGGAGGGAGGAAAGGTGGGAGGGAGGAAGGGAAAGAAGGAAGGAATGAAGGAGGGAAGGAAGGAAGCCAGGAAGGAAGGAAGAAAGGGAAGAAGGAAGGAAGGGAGGGAGGGAGGGAGGGAGGGAGGGAGGGAAGAAAGTAAGAAAGGAGGGAGGGAGGGAGGGAGGGAAGGAGGAAGGAAGGGAGGGAGAAAGGAAGGAAAGAAAGTAAGAAGGGAGGGAGGGAGGGAGGGAGGGAAGAAAGGTGGGAGGGAGGAAGGGAAAGAAGGAAGGAATGAAGGAGGGAAGGAAGGAAGCCAGGAAGGAAGGAAGAAAGGGAAGAAGGAAGGAAGGAAGGGAGGGAGGGAGGGAGGGAGGGAAGAAAAGCCCGGGGAAGGTCCTGGAAGGCTGGGGGATGAGACTGGGTGTGGCAGTGACTCAGGAGGGCTCAGGGCTCGAGGGACGAGGGACGATCAGACCAGCTGAGGTGACAGACTTGGGAGAGGTCCCTGAGGCAGGTGAGTACGAGGTGGGTCCGGTCACCGCCCCCGGGGTCTGAAGGTGGTCAGGGTGATTGCGACAGGGTGAGCAGAAGCAGGTCCGCCCGCTCAGAGGGAGGCTGGCTGGGCCAGCCCAGGGCAGGAAATGTCCGGGACCCGGCAGAGGCGGATCCCCAGGGCAGAGGCGGAGGGAGGGGCCCCGCCCACCTGTTCTCCCCGAGGAAGGAGGGGAAGTAGCATCGGGGCATCCAGATGCTGTAGCCGCTGGCCAGCAGCCAGAGGATGGCGATCTCGTCCAGCAGCTGGCCCAGGAAACTGAGCGTCATGTGGAAGTACATGGAGAAGAGGCCTGGGCAGGAGACAGGGGCCAGGGTTGGGGGGCCCTTCCCACTCTGCCCTCCACCCCAGACACTCGTACACGCGTGCATGCGTGCACACAGACACAGACGTGCACACACAAACACACGCATGCAGACGGACACATGCACACACACACACGCAACACACAGACACACGGGCACAAATACATGCATTTACACAGATAAACACACACGCGTGCAAACACACACACACACAGGCATACACATGCGCAGACAATACACGTGTGAAAACACAACTACACAGGCACACACACAGACATGCACATAGATGCATGCATTCATGCACTCACACAAGCACACACGCGTGCAAACACACGGGCATACATACATAGATTGACACAGCCACAAACCTAGAGAAACACACACCCACGAATTCACACAATCCCATGCATATAGAAGCCCACACACCGACGTATTCGTACAAACCACGTGTGTGAAGACACACAAGCACACACATCGACTTCCACAAACACACAAGCGTACACGCACATGTACACACACACACAGACGCATTCACCTACACATGAACACACGTGTGCACACAGACACACACACAGACATACAACCACGCACATGCAAACGCACAGGCACACACGAACGTACACACAAACACATGCACATGGAAACATGCACACACACACGATACACGTGCACTAGTGTATGCACACATAGACACACACACACGCACACAAGCACCTGCACACACTTACCAATGGCCATGAAGAGAACCCCGACCACGTAGACGAAACGGGAGCGCTTCTGGGCATAGGGGTGCATGAGGACCATCATGATAGGCCCAAAGATGAAGAAGGTGACATTGCTGAACTGCAGGAGGGGAGGAAGGGGGGCGTCAGGCTCTGTGCCTCTGTGCCAAGCCCTGGAAACCCCGGCCAGAGAAACAACCAGCAGCGTGGAGGCCAGGCTCTGTGGAGAGGAGCCCCTGATTCCCGGCATCCCATAAGGTCCCCTGAGCACTGCCAGGAGTATCTTCCTGAGTGCAGAGCCCGGAGTGCTGCTGGGTGTGGCCCAAAAATTCAGAAATAAATAAATACTCTATATCAGCAGGATGTGTCGTTCCCCCCCCCCCAAATCAAAACTAAAGCTCGAACCGACCCTCCGTGTCCCTTTCAGGCAATGACTCAACCCAGGGTTAGTCCAGCTTCTTTCTAGGTCACACCCGGCCATGCTCAGGGCTGACTCCTGGCTCTGCACTCAGGGATCATTCCTGGCGGTGCTTGGGGTACCCTGTGGGGTGCCGGGAATTGAGTCTGGGTTGGCCGCATGCAAGGCAAAAGCCCTCCCCACTGTCCCATCGCTCCGGCCCCTCTGCTTGTCTTTTATTTTGTGGTTCTCGGGCCACTCCAGACAGTGCTTGGGACTGAGGGGTTGATGGGGCTCAGATGGCACCGAGGGGACAGTCTGGAGGTTAACAGGAGTGGCTGCACCTGGCTCAGACCCTGTGATCTTCCAGCGACGCTGCGGGCTAAGGCTGTCACCGTCTCATTGCTTATCTCCTGAACCCCAGGCCCTGGAAAGGGCTAGAATTTTCTCAGCCGAGGGTGGAGTGATAGTTCAGTGGGTAAGGTCCTTGCCTTGCATGCAGCTGACCTGGGTTTGATTCCCGGCATCCCATAAGGTCCCCTGAGCACTGCCAGGAGTATCTTCCTGAGTGCAGAGCCAGAAGTGCCACTGGGTGTGGCCCCAAAACTTAGAAATAAATAAACACTCTGTATCTAAGGGCCAGAGTAATACTACCCCAGGAAGTGTACTTGCCTTGCATGGGGCTGACTGGGGATCAAAATGATCCCTCGATTCCCTCCAGGAGTGAACCCGGAGTGAATGAAGAGCCAGGAGTCAGGCCCGACCATCGCCAGGTGTGGCCCAAACACACACACACACACATTAAAAAGCCCTATATATCTGTCACCATAAAATTCTCACCCCAGCACTGGGAAGCTTATGATGGATGTTATGTAAGAGAGAAATACACTTCTCTCTCCATTAAACCATAATTGTTAGTTTAGGTCATTGCTACAGCAGTTCAACTTAAATTATATGTGTTCTCTCTCTCTCTCTCTCTCTCTCTCTCTCTCTCTCTCTCTGACACACCTGTTGATGCTCAGGGCTGGCTTCAGACTCTGCACTCAGAGTGGGCACAGGGGGTCCTACGGGATGCCAGGGCATCAAGCCCGGGTGAGCCACATGCCAGGTCAGTTCCCTCGCCACTGGACTCATTCTCATCCCTGCCCTCTTTCTTTCTTCCTTCCTTCTTTCTTTCTTTCTTTGTCACACCTGGCGATGCTCAGGGGTTACTCCTGGCTCTGCACTCAGGAGTTACTCCTGGCAGTGCTTGGCGGAGCCCATGGGATGCTGGGGATTGAACCCGGGTCAGCTGAGGGCAAGGCAAACGCCCTCCCCGCTGTCCTATTGCTCCAGCCCTGCCCTCTTTCTTTATTACTAAATAAACCTGAATGCTATTCAAGCACCATTAGGACCTGATCTCCAGCTGGGCGGGCTTGAACCCCAGCGTGTGAATCATTCCTGCCGTTCATTAACGATGAAGAAATGAACTGTGTTATAATTCTGGCCAGTGAAACACCACAGGAGGTCTAAGGAGAGGCTTCAGAGAAAGTCCCCCTCCGGAGACCTAGCCAGGCGAGATGTCTAGGCTCGGCCGTGATGAAGAAGATGCAGCCGTTTGGGACCCGTGAGGAGACAGCTCTTGCAAGAAGCAGCGTCTTGAGCTATACCTGGCAGTTCCCAGACTTACTCTTGGCCCGGCACTCAGGGGTCACTCTGCTGGGCTTGGGGGACCATCTGGAGTGCTGGAGATCGAATCCAGCTTGGTCCCAGGAAAGCAAGCACCTTACTCACTGTACTATTGCTCCAGCCCATCCCAAACTCTCTCTCTCTCTCTCATTGAATCACCGTGAGATACACAATTACACACTCTCTTGATTTTGTTTCAGTCATACAGTGCTCCAACACCCATCCCTCCACCAGTGCATATTTCTCACCAGAAATGTCCCCAATTTTTCTCCTGCCACCAACACACACACACACACACACACACACACACACACACACACACACACACACCCAGCCTGCCTCTATGGCAGGCACTTTTCTTCTCTCTGTGTCTCTGTGTCTCTGTCTTTGTCTGTCTGTCTGTCTGTCTGTCTGTCTCTCTCTCTCTCTCTCTCTTTCCTTTGGGGCATTATGGTTTGCAATACCGAGAGGACATCATACTTGGTCTTTCACCCACTTTCAGCACACGTCTCCCATCCAGAGCAACCCCTTCCAACCGTCATTGTCATAATGGTCCCTTCTCTATCCCAACTGCCTCTCCTCCAGCCTTTGAGGCAGGCTTCCAAACATGGATCAGTACTCCTGGCCCTTGTTTCTACTGTCCTTGGGTTCAAAACTCTCTCTCTCTCTCTCGGGGGTATGGTGACGCCAGCAGGTCAATCTGTATCTGTGAGGTGAATGCATCAACAGCCTGATGGCGCCTTCAGACTTCCAGATACCCCAAAATTGCTGCTGTGCCTTTGGCCAGACCCCAAAGACTTGGGGCAAAGTTTACCAAGAAAGTAAACGGCCAAAAGTTAGGTATGTGGGAAACACACCCACAAACCACCTCCGGCTCAGCTATATAATTGGAGGCATGGCCTCTTTGGTTCCTGATTATACTGCTTAATGGCCATGATCCCAGAGACTCAGAAACAAATCTTGAAACCCAACAGCTTTTGGCAGAAAAGCGTCTGGTCCCTGCAGTAGGTTACCAGCACTGGGCCAACCCAGGTGGGAATAGGTTTCGTGCCTTGGCCTGTTCCCCCTGGTGGCCTGGTGGCCTGGTGGTCATCATCCTCCAGAAGCCACTGGACAGTCAGGCTTGGGCCCCCAGTGACGAGACATGTTGGACCTCACAGGATGGGGGTGGAGCCGGTCCTGTCCTCCCCACCCCAACGAGACCCCAAGTCATTGCCCACAAATGGCCTTTCTGGCTCCTGATCAAGCTGCTTAACGGCCATGATCCCAGAGACTCAGAAATAAATCTCAGAACCCCGCACGTTTTGGCAGAAATCCCTCCAGATTTAAGTGTTAAAATTTTGGAATTTCAAAATCTCGTGGCCACTACTGCAGCCACGTGACATCATATATTATTCATAACCAGCAATAGAAAAGTTAAAATTTTGGAATTTCAAAATCTCATGCCACTACTGCAGCCAACGTGACATCATATATTATTCATAACCAGCAATAGAAAACAAATTGTCTACTGTTGCCTTTTCAGCAGATCTGAGTGTTGGGGTAAAAATCTCAAATAATAATGGTGGATCTGGTGTAAAAATATTGAATGTGATCAAAGTAGAGAGAGAGTAAATGTGGAAATCATCTGCCCACAGGTAGGGGGAGGGTGTGGGATGGGGGTATACTGGGGGGTTTTGGATGGAGAATGGGCACTGGTGAAGGGATGGGTGTTTCATTGTATGACCGAGACTTAGACCCAAAAGCTTTGTAACTGCTCTCACGGTGATTCAATAAATAAAATTATAAAAAATGAAAAATTCAAAACTCTCTCTCTCTCTACAATTTGGGTCACACCCGGTGATGCACAGGGGTTATTCCTGGTTCATGCACTCAGGAATTACTCCTGGCGGGTGCTCGGGGGACCATATGGGATGCTGGGGAATTGAACCTGGGTCTCCCACGTGCAAGGCAAATGCCCTCCCCCGCTGTGCTATCGCTCCAGCCCCTCTTTTATTGTTTTTAAGCAAAAAAAATTTTTTTTTGTTTTGGGGCCACATTCGGCAGTGCTCAGGGTTTACTCCTAGCTCTGTGCATAGGGGTCACTTCTGGGGGAACCAGAGGACCCTATGGGATGATGGGATCGAACCCAGATCAGCCGTGTGCAAGGCAAGTGTCCTCCCCACACACAGTCTTGTGGCTCTATCCTGCTTCTCTTGTATTCTTAACCATCCCTGAGGATCCCAACCAGCTTTTAGAAGACAGTTTTTTCTGGTGCCAGAAATTGAGCTAGGGACTTCACATGTGCAAGGTAAGGACCCAACCGTTGAGCTATATCCCCTATCTGGGTTCGATCCCAAGCACCATATAGGGCTCCCCCAAGCCCCATCAGAAGTGATCCCCAAGTGCAGAGCCAGACTAAGCCCTGAGCACTGCTGGATCTGGCCTAAAGCCCACAAATAAATAGATACAAATTTGTATGTCTGTACACATATTTATTCATGCACATATGCTTGCATGCCTTAGAAGAGCTCCTTCACCGAATTGCTGAAAACCAAGAAAATCAGTATCGAGGACAGGGCTGGAGTGATAGCACAGAGGCAGAGCACTTGCTTTGCACATGGCCAACCTGGGTTCGATCTCCAGCATCCCATAGGATCCCCTGAGCACCACCAAGAGTGATCTCTGAGTGCAGAGCCAGGAGTCAGCCCTGAGCAACGCAGGTATTGCTCAAAAAAATTTGGGGGGGGGGAGTCATACCCAGTGATGCTCAGGGGTTACTCCTGGCTCTGCACTCAGGAATTATTCCTGGAGGTGCTTGGGGGACCACGTGGAATGCTGGGGATTGAACCTGGGTTGGCCTTGTGCAAGGCAAATGCCCCACCCTCTGGACTCACTGTACTATCGCTCCGGCCCCTCGAAAAAAAGGAAGGAAGGAACAGAGAGAGGGAGAAAAGGGAAAGAGAAAAGGAAAGTGAGAGAAAGAAGGAAGGAAGGAAGGAAGGAAGAAAGAAAAGAAAAGAAGGAAAGAAAGAAAAGGAAGGAAGGAAGGAAGGAAGGAAGGAAGGAGGAAGGAT